CACACAAAAGGCTGATTTTGGTGATTTGGAACTGCATATTCAGAAAATGTAAGGTGGTTGGTTTGCATCAGAGCTAGCATGTACACATTTATTTGTAGCAATTCAAGTTTTATACAATGAAAAATGTATCTGTGGCAACTCATGTACTTCATATTTACACATTTATCTGTGGTAACTCATTTACTAGACACTCATTCATTTACACATGTATCTGTAGTAACTCATGTACTAAAAACTTATTCATTTACACATTTATCTATAGCAGCTCATGTACTGGACACTTGGTAATTTATACATTTGTTTGTGGTAACACTTATGTACTAGACACTCATGCATTTACACATTTATCTGTGGTAACTCATGTACTAGAGACTCATACATTTACATATTTATCTACAGCAGCTCATGTAGTGAACACTTGATGCTAATACATTTACACACGTATCGGTGGTAACTCATGTACTAGACACTCATTCATTTACACATTTATTTGTGGTAACTTACGTACTAGACACTTGACACTCATTCATTTACACATTTATTTGTGGTAACTCATGTACTGGACACTTGGTAATTTATACATTTGTTTGTAGTAACACTTATGTACTAGACACTCATGCATTTACACATTTGTCTGTGGTAACTCATATACTAGAGACTCATACATTTACATATTTATCTACAGCAGCTCATGTACTGGACACTTGACGCTCATACATTTACAAACGTATCGGTGGTAACTCATGTGCTAGACACTCATTCATTTACACATTTATTTGTGGTAACTCACGTACTAAGCACTTGACACTCATTCATTTACACATTTATATGTGGTAACTCATGTACTGGACACTTGGAAATTTATACATTTATTTGTGGTAACTTATGTACTAGACACTCATGCATTTACACATTCGTCTGTGGTAACTCGTGTACTAGACACTCATGCATTTACACATTTGTCTGTGGTAACTTATGTACTAGACACTCATGCATTTACACATTTGTCTGTGGTAACTCGTGTACTAGACACTCATACATTTACACATTTGTCTGTGATAACTCGTGTACTAGACACTCATACATTTACATGTGATAACTTATGTACTAAACACTTATTAATTTCCACATTTATCTGTGTAATTCACGTACTAGACACTCATAAATTTAGACATTTATACATTTATTTGTGGTAACACTTATGTACTAGACACTCATGCATTTACACATTTGTCTGTGGTAACTCATGTACTAGACACTCATGCATTTACACATTTGTCTGTGGTAACTCATGTACTAGACACTCATGCATTTACACATTTGTCTGTGGTAACTCATGTACTAGACACTTATTCATTTACACATTTATTTGTGGTAACTCACGTACTAGACACTTGACACTCATTCATTTACACATTTATCTGTGGTAACTCATGTACTGGACACTTGGAAATTTATACATTTATTTGTGGTAACTTATGTACTAGACACTCATACATTTACACATTTGTCTGTGGTAACTCATGTACTAGATACTCACACATTTACACAATTATCTGGCAGAGTCACATGTAGTGGAAGGAAAAAAAGAAAGAAAGATACTATCAACAACAATATCCAGGTATAGCTAAAATAAAAAGAGCAGTAAGATATGGACAGGAAGTGGCATTTTATCTCCAATTCTTGATGAGTATATAAAAATGTAAGTTTAAAAAAAAAAAAATTAGTAAGCGCAGAACAATTTTCACATCTTTGACTCAGGGAGGATGTCAAGCTAGACCTACATTTTTATAGACCAGTCGGCACTCAATACATTCCGGCTGCCTTTACCTTCCAGGAAATTAGCGGGTACCCATTTTAGGCTGGGTCAATTTGGGAGATGAAGAAAGTATTGAAGACAAACAGCTGAAAAACTTCTAATAAAACTTGATCTAACCAAGTTACACAAGGACATTATCACCACTACCAAGAGCCTTGCTGCCAGGTATAAGTGAACAAACTTTTACACATGTTTCTATCTCCAACAACATAAATCAGTTTGGGTGTCGATACCCCTCCATGCCATGACAAAAGGCTATCAAGAGTGGCCAACCATGATTTAAGTATTGCATACAAGATCCAAAAATAAATGTAAAACTTCTAACTAATCTAGTGTGCTGCCACCTGGTGGCAATGATACAAATTATGGCAGAATACAGGGGGGAAAAAACAACACAGCGGCAGTCATACTTCGACTACTCTGTCAATGTTTATTATATGGTGGAAATCATGGAAGGTCGTTTTTTTATTATTTTTTTTTAACAAATGTGTCTACAGAATGTAGTGGAAAAATCTTGGCTACAGTGTGAGAGTGTATTTACATCTTCACAATCAGTACCTGTCGTTTGAGAAAATTTACTTACAAAGCATGTGTGTGGATCTTCACAGTCACTGTTAATAGGCTTGTGTGTGTGAGAGGGAGAGAGAGAGAAAACTTGTCTGAGTGTGAAAGTGTGTGCGGTACTTCACAATCACTGTCTACAGACGTATGTGTGTGAGAGATTTTGTCTGAGTTTTAAAGTGTGAGCGGTACTTTACAATCACTTTCTACAGACATATATGTGTGTGTGTGCGCGCGCGGGAGAACTTGTTTGGGTGTGAAAGTGGGTGCCTTCACAATCAACATCTAGTCTGGTGGAAGATCAAATGATCCCAGTGAGCCTGGATGTACTTGCATGCAGTTCAATGTGAGAGAACATTTTGTCAGTACAAACTTTTTGAAAGTCTAGTGTATCCCAGGACTGCACCGAATTTGACACATTAGGGCAAACCTTTTGGCCAGAAAGAACAACAGTGGAACGTAAACTCTATGGACCACTGAATGAACTAACAACGACAGTGAAATTTATACAAGAGACAAAACTGCTGATATAGATAACTTATTTCAGGCGAACGAAAGAAGAAGAAGAAGAAAGTCTAGTTTGCTGTGAGAGGGAAAAAACACTTACCTAAGTGAGTATATTTTCTTTAAAAAAAAAAACAATTTAAAAAAAAGCACAGTTCGGTGAGAGAGGAAAAACTTGTATGAGTGGGTCCAGGTATTCCAAAACAGTAGTCTGATGCAAGTGAGAATACTTATCTGGGTGGGCACACCATTCTAAAACAGTCTCCTGTTGGTGTGAAAGAAAATATGTGGGTACAGGCATTCAAAAACAATCAAAAATTGGGTGTGACAGAAAATGTATCTGAGTGGGTATGGACTTTCTAAAACAGTCTTAAGAAAACTCATTTGAGGGAGTACAGACTTTTTAAAACAGTCTATAATTTGTGCAAGAGAGAAAAACTTATCTGAGTGAGTAGAAACTTTCTAAAACAGTCTGAAGAAAACTTATCTATGAGTAGAGACTTTCCAAAACAGTCTAAAGAAAACTTATCTGAGTGAATACAGCCTTTCTGAAACAGTCTATGACTTATGCAAGAGAGAAAACGAATCTGAGTATCTACAGAATTTCAAAAACAGTCTAAAGAAAACTTATCTGAGTGACTACAGACTTTCTAAAACAGTCTAAAGAAAACTTATCTGAGTGAATACAGACTTTCCAAAACAGTCTAAAGAAAACTTATCTGAGGGACTACAGAATTTCCAAAACAGTCTAAAGAAAACTTATCTGAGTGAATACACTTTCCAAAACAGTCTAAAGAAAACTTATCTGAGTGAATACAGACTTTCCAAAACAGTGTAAAGAAAACGTATCTGAGTGACTACAGACTTTCCAAAAGTCTAAAGAAAACTTCTCTTAGTGAATACAGCCTTTCTGAAACAGTCTATGACTTATGCAAGAGAGAAAACATATCTGAGTGACTACAGAATTTCCAAAACAGTCTAAAGAAAACTTATCTGAGTGACTACAGACTTTCCAAAAAAGTCTAAAGAAAACTTATCTGAGTGACTACAGACTTTTTAAAAGTCTAAAGAAAACTTATCTGAATGGGTGCAGACTTCCTAAAACAGTCTCAAGGAAACTTATCTGAAGAAGTACTGACTTTTCTAAAACAGTCTACCTAAAGAAAACATTTCTGAATCAGTACAGACTTTATAAAACAGTCTACAACTTGTGCAAGAAAGGAAAAATGTATCTGAGTGAGTACATACTATCTAAAACAGTCTTCAACTTGTGCAAGAAAGGAAAAATGTATCTGAGTGAGTACGTACTTTCTAAAACAGTCTACAAACTTGTGAAAGAAAGGAAAAATGTATCTGAGTGAGTACGTACTTGCTAAAACAGTCTACAACTTGTGAAAGAAAGGAAAAATGTATCTGAGTGAGTACGTACTTTCTAAAACAGTCTACAAACTTGTGAAAGAAAGGAAAAATGTATCTGAGTGAGTACGTACTTTCTAAAACAGTCTACAAACTTGTGAAAGAAAGAAAATCTATCTCAGTAATACTTTCTAAAACAGTCTACAATTGATGCAAGAGAGAAAAACTCATCTAGTGACTACAGACTTTCTAAAACAGTCTAAACAAAATTTATCCGTGTGAGTACAGACTTTCTAAAACAGTCTACAACTTGTGCAAGAGAGAAAACAATCTGAAAAATCTAAAGAAAATGTATCTGACTGGATACAGACTTTGCTAAAACAATTTGAAGAAAACTTATCTGAGTGTATACAGATTGTCTAAACACTCTTAAAAATGTATCTGAGTGAGTATAAAGGTTTTAAAACAATGTACCGTTTGGAGAGCAAACTTATCTGACTGGTGCAAACTTTCCAACACAGTCCAGTTTGGTGTGACAGAAAACTGATCCAGTGTATGTGAGCCAGATATCTGTATGTGTGTGTTTGTACATGGTAGTACATGTGTGAAATGCACACACACAACTGTGAGTGTATAATTAATAAATAATCCAGTTTCCGAAACACAAACATCCAGCTGTCCTGGTTCTTCCTCATCAATATCTGCAGTCTGGCGTGAGCTCAAAACTACCCCAAGGAAAATGGCAAGCATTCCGATGAACTCACAACAAGATGGCTGTGTACTGGTTCGGTGCCACCAACATGGCTAAAGACTTGTCTGTTGACAAAAAAAATACAAATATCTTAATACTATTCCTATTCAAGGCAGCATTTTACAGAATGAGGAATATTTTATGCAATCTTTCTTTGTCAATTCAGACGAGAAAGAGAACTCTTAAAAGCTACATAAATCCAATCTTGATATATGGAAGTAAATCATGGACAGGTGGTAGATTACATAAAAATTATTTGAAAGCTGCGGAGATGTGGTTTTATAGACAAATGATAAGAATACCCTGGACAAATTTAAATATAAAAAGTAATGAAGATGTCTTGAAAGAAACCGACTCATGAAGAGAACTGATTGCCTAATCAGAAGGAGAAATCAACATTCTTTGGTCATGTAATGAGAAGGAGAAAACTGGAGTACATCGTGACAGTTGGAAAGCTGAAGGGGAGGTGAGGCAGATGGAGACCAAGAGAACAGATGCTGAACAGTGTGACACTATGGCACGGAGGATCATTTGTGTCAAGAGTTGACTGAAAGTACACGAGACAGAAGGCTGTGGATAGACATGACTACCAATGCCACACTGCATGGACTATGGAAGATCATCTGTGTCAGAATTGACTGACAGTACACGAGACAGAAGGTTGTGGATATACATGACTACCAGCGCCACACGCCATGGACTTTAAGAAGATTCCTATCTGTGTAGTAAACAAAGACAATTACAAAGAGATGCCTTTCAAAATGCAGCATCAAAATAAATAAGACAAGTCTAAGGATAGTTTATATGTTTAAAAATGCAGGTACTCTGATCACTTCTTCTTCAGCATTCCAAGCCCTGAGATACATTGCTACAGATATCGCCTGCCAATATTCATCTCTGCGACTGACTTTATCTTTCCAGTTTGGACTTCAAGTGTTTGTAGGTCTGCCTGCGTATTATCTCTCCACTGTCTTCTTGGTCTGTCTGGTTGTCTACTCCCATTTAACTCTATTGTGTACCCCAAAAACAGCCAACGGAAAATGTATTTCAGAAATTAAATTTATAAATGCAAATACAGCATTTTACAGGATGTGCTGTTTATTCACCAGTTTTTGATATGCACCAGTGAGGGACATTTCATTTGATTCGCACGAGCACAGGAACGGAGCAAGTATAGGGAAACCCGACTGCGATGATGTTGAAAGCTAGACTAACTAACTAACAGGATGCAAAATATTATGAGGGTTTATTTAAAACTCATTTATGCCACACTGTGCATAACTGTGTGCGTTAAACATGATTATGTTATAGTCATGTCGTAAGTACTGATCACTGAACAAAAACAAGCATATGATGCCTAGTTTCCGTTTGTAAGAGATAGTAGAGTTGATACAAAATCCATCCAAAGAAGTTCAAGGAACAGTGATTAAGTTTCTTTCATTTGAAGGATGCTGACCAGTGGACAATGATCAAAGAATGTTGGGTGGTTACAAATGTGTGTCAAAGACAACACTGAATGCAATAAAGGAAGGTATATTCACAGTGGGTACCACAGATGTTCACTGACCACCCAGAAAATGAACCACAATCCTTTATTTGCAGATGGCATTCACCGCCTACCTATGCAATGGGATGCTTGCCTATATGACTACAGTGACTTTTTCTGGTCAACCCAAAGTGCATAATTCGTATAAAATGAATGCTTCCTTTAATTAATTCTCTCATACCTGTTGATGTTTCTCTTATGCTTTTGTAATAAAGCCTTAGAACAGGTTTCGAAGGAAGTTTCTATATAGTATATGCAATTTATCTTTATTTATCAAGATAAGAAAGATAGTTCTTAACCCACTGACTACCGAGCCCATTACCCTTGCACTTTCCCAGATACCATGTATTTTACTGTCTACTAAAAAATGCCTTAGTTTCACAAATATTTGACATAAACTCAAAATATTGTGAATTTTTGAACCAAACTGAATAGAGAAGAAACTTCAAGAATAAAAACTGCATAATCCTGTCTGACATCATCATGTGGCTGTACATCGGTGCAAAAAATGCAACCAAAAAATCTTTTTTTCCAACAATAATAAAGACTAACAAAAACTCCATAGCTTCACACCTATTTATGAGGTGAAGTCAATCAGTAAGTCATAAATGTTTGTTTAAAAAAAAAAAAACTACAGTGATAACTTGAAAACCATTTATTTTTACACGTACACTGTCCCTTCATTTTTCAACAAAATTGATGCATTTGTCCCATCGTTTTATCAGTTCTCCCAGACCTGCTGCATAGAACTCTGTGCTCTGTTTTCTAAACCACATTTTCACTTCACATCCAAATTATGTGTCATTCGCGAAATGTCTCCCCCCAAGGTTGGTTTTCCGTGGACCAAAAAGGGTGGAAATCACTAGGGGCTGTAAGGTGGATGTTATAGAAGTTCCCACACTAGAAGGTTGATTTTTCTCCGGAGTTAACCGAGTCAAATGTGGTCTGGCATTGTCATGAATGAGCAGTACTCCTTTAGTTAGCAGGCCTGGACATTTTTCTTCAATTGCATCATAAAGCATTGATAGAACTCTGTAGTTATGAATTAGTAATCACATTGTCAGCTTTTTTTTTCTTTGAAACTGGTTAAAAGCACTCCTTGACAATCCACACTGTCAGTATAACATTCCCTGCTGATGGCGTAACCTTGAATTTTTCAACACATGGCAAAGAAGGATGTTTCTACTGCAATGAAGCATGCTTCGATTCGGGCTGGTAGTAATGCCCCCATGATTTGTCCCCAGGAATAATCCTGTTCAGCATGTCTTATCCTTTGTCTGTGTATCAACAGAGAGGCTGGACAGGCCTAATCAGTTCATTCTAAGTTCATCCGTCAATTGTCTGGATACCCACCTTGAGCACACTTTCGTACATTTCCAACATGCATTATGTTGTATGCTGAACCATGTGAGCACCCTATTGCAGCTGCAACAGAGTCAACTGTTACTCAAATGTCACCTCTAATCATCTTCTACACCCATTGCCCAGTTGCATCCATCTGTTGGAATCTCAAAAGGATAACCAGATAGGACTTTATCAACAATTTTAGTGCGTCTTTGACCAACCAAAATTTTACCCAGCAGCACTTTACGGGATAAACATTTGTCAGTATAAACAGGAAGCACTTCCCTAAGAATGTCCTTAGCAAGCAGCCCTTTTGGCTAATATAAGAAGTAAGAAAATCAATAAATCAATACACTATGAAAACAAGAAAATTAAAGAGGAAGAGAGCAAGGCTATGAAAAAAGATGTTGAACAGTCTGGCATCACAGGTGGACAAACATATGTACCAGAAAGGATTGACAGTATACATTGCAGAAATCTCTGTCACTGTGTTATTTAGAACTCAACTAATAAAGACTTGTGGTCAAAACATTTGGTTATATTTGTGTGCATCTTTTCCATTCCCTCTGTTAAGCTATCTGGTCCTATTTTATGTTGTACTTAGTACATCACAGAAGGCTATAATGAGACATGATGACCAGACCCTCAACATAATCCATAAAAGAAGAAAAATTCCAACTTCAATGACTACACAACACTGATTAAAAAAGGGTATTAAAATGGGAACTAAAGATAGCTAGTGTATGCTGAGCATATCCTTATCAAGTGTCAACTGGTTTATATAAAATATAGCTTAGCAGTACAAGCCCGATGTGCCAATGGCATGAAAAAAGCCTGTTACTTATGACCAACTTACAGTGACTAACCTTTAAAGACAGATTCATTAGAAAGAACATGAACACTGGAGTAAAAGGACTGCGGCACTGCAGCTTGACGGCGCAGCAGGCAACACTCTTTGCTCCCTGGTGATTTCCATTCACGCCTATAAATAATAAAAATAAAACACTAATTCTTGGTTAGTGTATAACTAATTCATTAAAAATTTTGGTGGTATGGCTGTTAATGCTTTCATTCACCAAACATGGTGGTCCGAGTTCAACAGGATATGATAGGGGTTCTTATTCCCATTCACCCGCTGTCAACTTCGGCAGACAGTTCTGGTTGTTCATCCATTTCTGGAATTTGGCTTTGTTCCAGGACTTGAGTTTTGCATGTACATCTGTTTTATAGATCTGGCTTATTTACTGTGTGCAGAGTGTTGGTTCCTCACCACTCAGGCAGATGCACTCTGACCTGATCCTATCTATGCTGGTTGGCTGGCTTAAATCACAGTGCATAACACCTGTTGTCAACTTGATCAGTCTTGTTCGGTTTGCTCTCTCTGGGATGTTCCTGAAAAATTTAAGCCCAGACAGCAAACTTACAAGGCAGACCTAGATTTCCAGTTCAACCCTACAGCAAGTTATAATTAGGGCACCCATAATGACTACACCCCTCGCCTGCGGATCAGAAGGTCGTGAGTTCAGGTCCTGAGACAGAACCTGACCTTTTTAAAAAAAATGACATCAGCTCTCAGGTCGGCCCAGTCTTGAGTGGGTACCAGGTTAGTCTTGGGAAGTAAAAGTGGCCAACATGATGCTGGCCACATCGCCCACCAAGTGCCGATTGGTCTGTAAAATATAGGTCTAGCCCAATATACCCAATATGCTCGAGGGCGTGGAGAAGGGCCCTTTATAATAACTACACCAGCCCTTGTAACCTGCATTCCCGAGGGGGTAAGGACGCTGCAAATTTCTATTCCTTTTCCTTCTTCTATTTCTCTTCCTCCTCTACCTTCTTCTGCAACTGAATAAAAGTGATGCTGCCTCTGTGAATCAGGTCATCAGCAACAGTCCTCTAGAGTGTCGCCAAAAAAAAGGGACTGTTTTGTAATTCAAATAGTTGGTTTGCTCAAAACGCCATCAGTAACTTCTCCATATTGTCAGTTTCTCCTTCTTCTTTCTTTTTCTTCTTCTCTTCCCTATTTCTTTTAGTTTTCTTTTTTGAATCTTTTTCTCCTCCCCTTTCTCCTCCTCTCTCTGGGGGAGTGGGGGGGGGGGGGGTCCTATCCTCAGCCACATTGAATCAAGTCATCAAAAGAAGATCCTCTCATATGGCATGACAATATTTCTCCCACTGGTCCCTGTATTGCTCGCAGCTTTTGCTAAGTAGTCTGCTAAGTAGTCCCGCAATGATTTAGTGGTCTGTGATCCACTGGAGAACAGTCTGCTTGGTGAGCTGATCCATTTGATTTAGTACAGATCCAAATATTTTTAACTCTAGTTGCTTTATCAAATAATGCAGTTATACAGAGAGTAGCTATTCAATAAAATTCAGTGTATAATAGTAAGTGAATATGGATTAATTATACCGAATACTCAACACAACATGATTTGTTTAGTACATGATAAACAAAACAAATAAGATGGTTTATAGATGTGTATGTTTTTCTTTTTTTATCCATCAAATGACACATAGTGAAAATTAAACCTACCCCATGAGGATTCTCTCATCAACTTCTGACAAAGGTTCAATGAAAAGAGTGGAATACAACCCTGGAAAGTAAAAAATTTTCAAACATGATAATACTATGGCATATACAAACCAAAACAATTAAACCAAAAACCCCCGTGTGGGTTCCGGGGCCCCATTGTGGGGAAAACAAGAATAGACCCACTGTCTCCCCAAAAGCATGTCGTAAGAGTCGACTAATTGGGAAGCTTCCTTTGAAGTCGGAGTGCATCTGCCGGAGAGGCAAGGAACCAACAGTCTGTATTCAAGAGAATGAGATCTGTAAAACTGATGCACACGCAACACTCAGGTTCTGGAGCAGGACTGCAGTTCAGTAGTGGACGAGCAACCAGAACCTTCCGCCAGAGTTTACAGCTGGTGAACGTGAAGAAGAAGAATTAAACCAAAACATATTTGAACCCTTAGATCCCAGTTGATGCTAGAAACATGCTGAGACTGCACGCATCACCTATGAAAAACTGGAACAAGTCTGGGTAAACCAGAATCACAGGGAGTAGATAATCTTTTTCTCTTGAGTAGCTTTTCTGGTTTGCAAATGTTGCTAAAGTAGTGGCCTAACCAGCCTGCTTTGATTTTCAGCTGCCATGAATTTTGTAATTTCATACACACAGGTCCACTAAATTGTGTGCCCTTGTCTGAGAAGACTAGATATCTTATCCACTACCTCAAGATCAGGGTCGAGTCTACCATTCTTTCCTGCTTAAGTTTAATCAAAACAAAACAACAACATTTAACACATTGAAATAAACCCAGCCTTCTTGAGCTAAAGGCAAATCTCATAATCTCTGATTTACTCCTAAAATCTAAGATCTTTTCAACAAACAGTCTGTTTCTACTTTTTTCTAGTCTTTATAATTTTATTTCAATCCATAATATTTGGTTCCTTTTAGAAATAATCCATTACTGTATCTCCAGGGAGTCGCCATGACCGAGTGGCAAGACGCTCACCGCAGATCGGAAGGTCATGGGTTCGCTGCCTAGCAGAGCCAGACTTTTTTTTAATGACCTTGGCCCCTAGGTCAACCCAGCCTTGAGTGGGTATCGGGTGCAGTCACAGGAAGTAAAGGCAGCCGGTGTGATGCTGACCACATCACCCATCTTGTGCCGATTGGTCTATAAAATATAGGTCCAGCCCTATATGCCCTATACGCCTAAATGCGTGAAAAAGGGTCCTTTACTTACTACTTTTACTGTCCCTCCCTCATCTTCATGACTGACCTCTGAGTCATATACCCTGTAGCCACCATCTTATTGCTCTTTGTTTTCTCGGTGATCTCTTACAAAAGGTATGGAACAATACAACCTTACTATTCTCTGCTTTCTTAGTCATCTTTTTCACAATGCATGGAACATTATAACCTTACTATTCTTTGCTTTCTTACATGTTACTGTCATCTCTTTCAACAGGCACAGAATGATACAATATTACTGTTCTTTACTTCCCTAGTCATCTCATACAATATGCATGGAATGATACAATATTACTGTTCTTTACTTTCTAAGTCATCTCTTACAATATGCATGGAATGATACAATGTTACTGTTCTTTGCTTCCCTATTCATCTCATACAATATGCATGGAATGATACAATATTACTTACTGTTCTTTGCTTCCCTATTCATCTCATACAATATGCATGGAATGATACAATATTACTTACTGTTCTTTGCTTCCCTATTCATCTCTTTCAACAGGCACAGAATGATACAATATTACTGTTCTTTACTTCCCTAGTCATCTCATACAATATGCATGGAATGATACAATATTACTTACTGTTCTTTACTTCCCTAGTCATCTCATACAATATGCATGGAATGATACAATATTACTTACTGTTCTTTACTTCCCTAGTCATCTCTTACAATATGCATGGAATGATACAATGTTACTGTTCTTTGCTTCCCTATTCATCTCTTACAACATGCATGGAATGATACAATATTACTTACTGTTCTTTACTTCCCTATTCATCTCATACAATATGCATGGAATGATACAATATTACTTACTGTTCTTTACTTCCCTAGTCATCTCATACAAAATGCATGGAATGATACAATATTACTTACTGTTCTTTACTTCCCTAGTCATCTCTTACAATATGCATGGAATGATACAATGTTACTTTTCTTTACTTCCCTAGTCATCTCATACAATATGCATGGAATGATACAATATTACTTACTGTTCTTTACTTCCCTAGTCATCTCTTACAATATGCATGGAATGATACAATGTTACTGTTCTTTACTTCCCTAGTCATCTCTTACAATATGCATGGAATGATACAATGTTACTGTTCTTTGCTTCCCTATTCATCTCATACAATATGCATGGAATGATACAATATTACTTACTGTTCTTTACTTCCCTAGTCATCTCATACAATATGCATGGAATGATACAATATTACTTACTGTTCTTTACTTCCCTAGTCATCTCATACAATATGCATGGAATGATACAATATTACTTACTGTTCTTTACTTCCCTAGTCATCTCATACGATATGCATGGAATGATACAATGTTACTGTTCTTTGCTTCCCTATTCATCTCATACAATATGCATGGAATGATACAATATTACTTGCTGTTCTTTACTTCCCTATTCATCTCATACAATATGCATGGAATGATACAATATTACTTACTGTTCTTTACTTCCCTAGTCATCTCATACAAAATGCATGGAATGATACAATATTACTTACTGTTCTTTACTTCCCTAGTCATCTCTTACAATATGCATGGAATGATACAATGTTACTGTTCTTTGCTTCCCTATTCATCTCATACAATATGCATGGAATGATACAATATTACTTACTGTTCTTTGCTTCCCTATTCATCTCTTTCAACAGGCACAGAATGATACAATATTACTGTTCTTTACTTCCCTAGTCATCTCATACAATATGCATGGAATGATACAATATTACTTACTGTTCTTTACTTCCCTAGTCATCTCATACAATATGCATGGAATGATACAATATTACTTACTGTTCTTTACTTCCCTAGTCATCTCTTACAATATGCATGGAATGATACAATGTTACTGTTCTTTGCTTCCCTATTCATCTCTTACAACATGCATGGAATGATACAATATTACTTACTGTTCTTTACTTCCCTATTCATCTCATACAATATGCATGGAATGATACAATATTACTTACTGTTCTTTACTTCCCTAGTCATCTCATACAAAATGCATGGAATGATACAATATTACTTACTGTTCTTTACTTCCCTATTCATCTCTTACAATATGCATGGAATGATACAATGTTACTGTTCTTTGCTTCCCTATTCATCTCATACAATATGCATGGAATGATACAATATTACTTACTGTTCTTTGCTTCCCTATTCATCTCATACAATATGCATGGAATGATACAATATTACTTACTGTTCTTTACTTCCCTAGTCATCTCATACAATATGCATGGAATGATACAATATTACTTACTGTTCTTTACTTCCCTAGTCATCTCATACAATATGCATGGAATGATACAATATTACTTACTGTTCTTTACTTCCCTGGTCATCTCTTACAATATGCATGGAATGATACAATGTTACTGTTCTTTGCTTCCCTATTCATCTCTTACAACATGCATGGAATGATACAATATTACTCGTTGCTGCCCTAGTCATCTGTTACAGCATGCATGGATGAATCACTGTTATTTGTTTCCTGAATCATCTCTTACAATTTTTCCAAATGTCTCAAAACGTTTCAGTTTTTTCTTCTCATAAAAGTAAAAACAAATCATCAATAAACAAACTGAATGAGGAATTTTTGAAACAAGACAGCATTTATGGTACAACAATAAAAACTCACCTGTACACAAGCTGAAAACAAAGGTGAATTGTGTCTGATAAAGCTTCACCATCATGCGGCTGCGAATAAAAAAACCATAGTGATATTATTAAACAGCAAGCGATTTTTAATAATAAATACAAACTCACTGCCTTCCATCAAAGTTGGAGTACATTTGCCTGAGAGGCGAGGAACCAACAGTCTGCATACAAAAAGGCCCGATCTGTGATACTCACAATCTGGAACAAAAGTTTAAAGTCGATGTTCAACCAACATTTTCCGCAAGAGTTTACAGCCAGTGAACACTAACTAAGAAGAAGAATAAGAAACAAACTTATCAGTTTGTTAGAGAAAATGCACTGAAAAGTACAGTAACCATTAATGATATCTTAACAAAAATGGGTAACAGCAGCTGAGCTGCTATCAAGAAGTAACTTAACGGCTGCAGACTTCAGTTCATAAGTATAACTTTTACAGAGATCCCTGGGGATCGTTGCTGGAGCTATGGAGTTTGTGCTCTGCATGGTGCCTTCGATAGGCGGCTAGCCGTTCTGCTGAGAACAGGCCATATGGGATAAAACCCGGTGCAATGAAGTCGATCCTGTTGACTTTAACTTTACTCAAACTTGTCACAACAAAATGAGCAATAGTGCCGTTCTTGGGGGAAAAACTGTGCTATATCCACACTAGAAGTCAGCTCCAATGTAACCACAACTAGCTAGGGGAATCTTATATGGTAGGGCCCCAGTCTCTTCCTTGGCACAACTCTCAAACCACTGTCTTCTTCTTTCTTTTTTTTTTCTTTGCAGTCACCGGCTGTAAACTCCAGCAGAAAGTTCTGGTTCTTTGTCTACCTCTAGACTTTAGTCTTGTTTCAGAACCTGAGTGCTGCATGCGCATCCGTTTTACAGATCTGAATTTTTTTGTATGCAGACTTCTTGTTCCTTGCCACTCAAACAGATGCACTCCAACTTTTAAGAAAGTGCCCAATTAGTCGACGCATATGACATGCTTTTTGGGGAGGCAGTGTGGGTCTATTCTTGTTTTTCCCACAATGAGATCCCATTCATAAGCATTCCATAAGTGTACAGTACCTCATTTTACTCCTATCCATAGAATCTTTGGCTTGTATAAGAGCATAGACAGTTCCATAGACACTCTGACTATTTGGACACACCTGAAAGCAAAAGTAAAGTCATCAATATTTATTTAGATACTAACAGTAGGATCCCACAGTAGATACTGTTGTCTGGTTTGGGGTGTTAGGGATTCACAACGATAATAAGGCCATAAAATAGAGAGATTTCCTCTAGATACTCATCATCAACAATTTCCATCTTGGCCGTGATAACTTCTGATCCATTGCTTTGTGGGTAGCATTGGCTACTGCCATTCCGTTCTGATCTAGAATGTCTTTAAAAAGGACACTCTCAAAACTGCTCTCAACTCTTTCAGCATTAACACAATAACATGGGAGGCTGCTGCACAGGATCATTCTGGATGGCATACATCCTTCAGGCATGGCGTATTAGCCTGCCAGACAGCGGAGGCAGACTAGAAAGAACTGTATTGCTAACTGCACACTTACTGCTGCTTCACCTGTTGTCCACACTGCTCAAGAACTTTCCAGACTCCGATTGGACTAATCAGCCACTTTCCTACTCATAATTATTGATCATTACTTTACAAAAGTGGTCTTCATCACTCGTGATGGACGAACAACAACAACAGCGTCATCAAACCATCTCCTTGGACACCCTCTTGCTTACACATCAGATCTCTTCAGATATACCCCCTGCGCTGGTAGTTATGGTTGCCTTCTAATGAGATGCTTGAACCATGTGACCTTCTGCTTCTCAATGAATTTGCTGCATGGTGCTGTTCCCACAATTTGTCTGATAGTATCATTTCTCACCCGGTCTCTGAGGGTTAAATTGAAGACTTCATCTCCTTTAGATACTAGCGTTGGTGAATTTAATTCTATGGCAGAGATTGCTGACCGCGTGTGAATTATTTGATGTACATAATGGCATATTAATGTGAGAAAGAGGGGGGAAAAAACACCGGCGAACGCACACATACACACACAAATCATCATTGTTAAATGCCTTGCCAACAGGCGCTGGTGACCACATCTCTCGACAACTTGTAATCGCCAGCAACTGATTTTTAAAAGAAAAAAGATTTTAAATGATGGATTGCCAGGTGATAAGTGCAGGCAGAGCTGAGATGAGCATAAAGGAACAGTATGCTTATTCAGCTACAACTCAGTATCAACTAGAAACTAAACTAAAACATAAGGATACACAAGGCAGCAGGTATGGGCACAGAAGCAGCTTACTGTATGCAAGTATGTAAGTTGTACACCACCAGCACATCACACACAAAGAGATAAACACCCAGTGACTCAAAGTGCCACCATGCGGATGAAGATCACCCACTGAGAGGTCCCAGAAACCCTGTTCAGCCGTTAGGCCATATTTATGGCCCGGCTATATTCAGGGCTTCCAGCAAAAGCCAGGGTGGGGCTTCAAATGACAAAAAATTGCATCCCACATGGGGACAATTCATTAAAACATATAGCAGCTTACTAAAGGCCCAGGATTTACATAAGTTTCTGACTTTCAGGAAGCCGCCAGAAAGCACTAGAAAGTACCAGTTGGAGATTTAAACTGGCATTAAACATGTTATTGCAGGGAAACAAAAACAATACAGAAGGTTCTGAAGAGTCTAGGAATGAAAAGAGAGTCGCTGAAGGAAATAAAAGCAGACAAGCAAAATATTTTGGCTAAATTTAAAGAAATAACACTAATAAAAATCCAGACTGGGATAAAAAAAAGTTAAAGGCAAGCAAGCGGCAGAAGTGGGAGGATAACATCAAGAGATGGACAAACAGCAGTCTGAAAGAGTGAACAAAAGACAGAGGGTTATGGAGATCCATTACCCAACCTTTATTGTGAAAACAACACCTGAATAACTGGTTGATTAATGATAGGAATGCATACATGTGAGGTGGGTGGCAGTTACAGGAATGACTTGGAGAAAGAGGCAGTTACTGGAATGACTTGGAGAAAGAGGCAGTTACAGGAATGACTTGGAGAAAGAGGCAGTTACGGGAATGACTTGGAGAAAGAGGCAGTTACAGGAATGACTTGGAGAAAGAGGCAGTTACAGGAATGACTTGGAGAAAGAGGCAGTTACAGGAATGACTTGGAGAAAGAGGCAGTTACAGGAATGACTTGGAGAAAGAGGCAGTTACAGGAATGACTTGGAGAAAGAGGCAGTTACAGGAATGACTTGGAGAAAGAGGCACAACTTAGAGATTAGAAGAAATTAAAAATCGTAAAGATGGGAAACTGGCCGGGATCATTAGAGAAGTAGCCATCTACACACCTTAGGGAAAAAATGTCAACCTGCAGTTTGTGGCTTCCGTTCAAGCCATGTGGGTGTTTATAGCTCAGCTTTAAGACCCCACATGGCTTAGGCGTTGCGAGTTTGACTCGTAATTCCAACGTACCGGGATCGAAACCCACTGCTGGCTGCGTGGATTTTTATCATGGTATGAGGTGTTGCATGTCGACCCAGCCTAAAATGGGTACCAGCATGGCTGTCCTGGGGAAATAAAGACGGCTGGCGTAATGCTGACCGCATTACCCACCTAGTGCCGATGGTCTGTAAAAATATGGGCACTCTTCCCATATACCCGATAAGCCTAAAGGCGTGAAAAGGGATCTTTAATTTTTACTTTTTTTAAGATCCCATCCTACAACTGGTCTATAAATGCAACTAAGACCACTTTTTTGTGTTTGTGTGGTTGAAATAAGTCAAACAAATGACCAGTTTTTATGCCTTGAAGTAATAGGTATATTGTTTTTTATAGTGGTCAGAACTCAATGGGTGATGTGGTTAATATCTGTTGGGCCATTTTCATTTCCCAAGTAATTGCTTGATGCTTATTTCAATATATAATTACCAAAATATATATACCAATATATAATCGCCAAAATGTTAAGATCACTTAATTAATCATTGGTATTTCCAAGCTACTTCAGAGTTTTTCATTAACTGCTAGCCTAGTTTACACTAAATCCAAAAACAGGCAGACAGATTGGCTGGATCTGCACCACTGGGTGGTGAATTGATACATGACAAGGCAGATGTGGTCAAGGTTCCTTTGGGAACAAGCAACTGAATCAGTAGAAAAAGAAGATTATTATGTCATAGAGAGAATGAGGCACCTGGATGTAACCAGAGAGTCTGACCAGCTCACTACACGGACATATAACCAGATTGTGACCGGTACCATTGGTATTAGAACTCTGCGCTGGCTGCTGAAGAAAAGGACGGAGCACACATGGGAATGCCCCAAGTGCTGTAATGTCAATTCTTGACTCAGCTCAACTAAATCCAATAATTACAGCCTACTGTCCCATCCTTAAACGACTTATATTGTGCACGCACTTCTCCATGTAATGTTACTACTTTAACTCTCTGAACCAGATTGTGACTGGTACCATCAATATTGGAACTCTGCGTTGGCTACTGAAGATGAGGTCAGAGCATGCATGGGAATGCCCCGAGTGATGTGACGTCAATTCTTGACTCCACTCAACATCAACTAGGTGGTCTTAAACCAGTACAGTTGAGGTGAATGACACCTTTATGGCTAAACTCAGAGCAAAACTTCACACTTCCTTATTCCACACACAGAAAACTTACATCTAAAATCTGAAGATCGTAATTGCAAAAGGCAACATATCTTTGGCCCCAGTCTGCATCATGCCGTATGGCTTCCACCATGTAATGTTCAATATCAAATGTCATTTGTAAAACTGTTATCTATATAGATGAGAGAAAGGAAAACATAATTTTTTTTTAATGCTTTTCTCTTGATGAAGTTGCTGAAAGAAAATACATTGCATTTAAAATCTTCAGTTGTGATTGTTCTTAATTTCTCTGTCATGCTTTTGTGTTTTTACTAGGTTATATTATGCACACTGGTATGCAACTGAATATAATATGCTTTTATAGATAAATTATTGTGTGAAATATGAGAGTTTGGATGGGCTAAATGTCAGATGGGCTTGTGTTCCCAATATGTGACACTTTAAAAATACAGTTCATTCAGTCATTCATTGGTCTTTAATCTCCTACTTGAACACAGGCCCTCAACCAGCTCATGAAAGGCCCTCAACCAGCTCCTGCAAGGCCCTCAACCTGCTCCTGCAAGGCCCTCAACCAGCCCATGAAAGGCCCTCAACCAGCTCCTGCAAGGCCCCCAACCAGCTCATGCAAGGCCCCCAACCAGCTCCTGCAAGACCCCCAACCAGCTCCTGCAAGGCGCCTGACCAGCTAACAAAAAGCCCTCAACCAGCTCATGCAAGGCCCCCAACCAGCTCCTGCAAGGCCCCTGACCAGCTAACAAAAAGCCCTCAACCAGCTCCTGCAAGGCCCTTGACCAGCTAACAAAAAGCCCTCAACCAGCTCATGCAAGGCCCCTGACCAGCTAACAAAAAGCCCTTAACCAGCTCATGCAAGGCCCCTGACCAGCTAACAAAAAGCCCTCAACCAGCTCCTGCAAGGCCCCTGACCAGCTAACAAAAAGCCCTCAACCAGCTCATGCAAGACCCCCAACCAGCTCCTGCAAGGCCCCTGACCAGCTAACAAAAAGCCCTCAACCAGCTCATGCAAGGCCCCTGACCAGCTAACAAAAAGCCCTCAACCAGCTCCTGCAAGGCCCCTGACCAGCTAACAAAAAGCCCTCAACCAGCTCATGCAAGGCCCCCAAAAAGCTCCTGCAATGCCCCTGACCAGCTAACAAAAAGCCCTCAACCAGCTCATGCAAGGCCCCGTCCAGCTCATGCAAGGCCCTCAACCAGCTCATGCAAGGCCTCTGACTAACTCATGCAAAGGCCCTCAACTAGTTTATGTAAGGCCATTAACCAAGAGACAGAGACAAGCACTGACAACATAACAGAGACAAACATTGACAAAATAACAGAGACAAACACTGACAACGCACCAGGAAAAAACATAGGTGTCATGGCCCTGTTAGAAGGGTATGGGACAGAGTAAACATGATACGACTTGTAACTTCATGTTTGTGTTTGACGGACCAAAAAGTGCACCAGCAGTCAGCCAGCTGAATTGACGATATGCGGAAAACCCATTATAACTTGAACACTGGTACTAACACGTTTTTACCCGGAGCTGAACGGGGAGGAAAAGGGCGGTCAGACATGGACGTGTGAGGCTGAAGACATCTAAAGACGTGATAGACTGTATTTTGTAAGGAGTTGAAAGATAGGGACTGTTAGCGTTGTCATCATATGTGTTGGTTAGCTATTGGTATTCCTTGTGTGCTTATAGTATGCTAAGACAGTTGTGTTGGTGTTGTATCATGCGTAAGTAGTTGTTCTTATCTATGGGTTATTGGAGTTTGGCTGCCTTTTGTGCTGGCGTTGACACTGCCCGCTAATACTTGAACCACTCACCCTGCGTGTGCCACTGAGTCTCGCATGGCGAGGACCGCAGCCTAGTTAGCGCTGTACGACAGGAGGTGGAATCGAGTCCTCTGGTACATCCATTGGAACGGCTCGGGTGGATAAGTAAATATAAATGCTACCACTGCTGGCGTATCAGATTAGGGACTGTCCATAACTGTTGAGGTTGCTTTAGGTTGAATTGGTTTTTTTGTTCATTAAAGATGATGTGTGTACCCAATAGGTGTGTGTTTTAGGTGTGTTCTAGTATAGTGTGTCTGTCACAGGGCCATACAGTGAGTCGTAGTTAAGTAGTATAGATACAAGGTAGTTGACAATAGGCAACACACCAGAGACAAACACTGACAACATAATAGAGACAAACACTAATAAAATACCAGACAAACACTGACAACATAATAGAGACAAACACTAATAAAATACCAGACAAACACTGACAACGTACCAAAGACAAACACTAATAAAATACCAAAGAAAACTGACAACATACCAAAGACAAACACTAATAAAATACCAGACAAACACTGACAACATAATAGAGACAAATACTAATAACATACCAGACAAACACTGACAACATACCAAAGACAAACACTAATAAAATACCAGACAAAAACTGACAATGTACCAGAGACAAACACTAATAACATACCAGACAAACACTGACAACAGGCAAGACAAACACTGACAACATACCAGAGACAAACACTAATAACATACCAGACAAACACTGACAACATACCAGAGACAAACACTAATAACATACCAGAGACAAACACTAATAACATACCAGAAAAAAACTGACAATGTACCAGAGACAAACACTAATAACATACCAGACAAACATTGACAACATACCAGAGACAAACACTGACAACATACCAGAGACAAACACTAATAACATACCAGAGACAAACACTAATAACATACCAGAAAAAAAACTGACAATGTACCAGAGACAAACACTAATAACATACCAGACAAACCCTGACAACATACCAGAGACAAACACTAATAACATACCAGACAAACACTAATAACATACAAGACAAACACTGACAACATACCAGAGACAAACACTGACAACATACCAGAGACAAACACTGACAACATACCAGAGACAAACACTGACAACATACCAGAGACAAACACTAATAACATACCAGACAAACACTGACAACATACTAAAGACAAACATGATAACATACCAGAGACATGTCACTCCGCACTGTTCTGATTATGTTCAGTGGCTTGGTATTCCAAACAACTTGAACTGGTAGGATGCTTTTGTAAGCCAAATCATAGTCATCTGAGGAAACATCATGAAATTATAAACAAATCTCTCCACCGAAGCAGTGCTTCCCCAGTGTAAATTTAAAGAAGACACAAACGTGTTTCACAATATACTGCTGGTCATATTTTACTGTACCTTGTCCAGGTTGAGAGGCAATGGATATAATCCACAGCAGCCGACCTTTACTGTGGAGATGACACCTGACACAGAAGCACCAGTTTTAGTACATTTGAACCTTAACGAGGCTACTGACCTCCTGACATAAGTTTTTCCAGCAAAAGGATTTGAAGAAGTTCCCCGTGTGGGTTCTGGGACCCCATTGTGGGGCAAACAAAAACAGACCCACTGCCTCCCCAACAAGCATGTTGTGGGAGTCGATCGATTGTTAGCATCCACGAAGTAAGAGTGCATCTGCATGAGCGGCACACAAATAAGCCAGTAAAACAAGGCCAAAGTCCAAACAGATAAACAACCATAACTTTGCACCGGAGCTTGCAGCATGTGGACAAAAAAAGAAATAGAATAAGTGAGGCGGATAATAAACAGTGGCTAACTATAAATACACATCTAGCTGAGTTTTTTGCAAAACTGACCTTGGCTCCCAGTTCAACCCAGCTTAAAATAGATACTGGGTAATGTCCTGGAAAGAAAAGGTGGCCAGCAAGATGCTGACCACCATACTCACTGAGTGCTGACTGGTCAATAAAAATTAAGGCCCTCTATACGTCTGATGACACTGAAGATGCATTGGCATTGAAAGCACATAGGGCTGGAGAGCTGGCTAGAGAAAGGGATACTTTCAGGCGTGCCGTGAAGAGAGCGATGTTCTGTAAAGAACTTGCTGATTGATGATATGTCCGATGTGCTAAAGTCCTTTACATTTTACATTTTATTTTTCATTTATTAATTTCCCTGTGGGGGTTCCAGGGTCCCATTATAGGGGGGGAAAAGAATAGACCCACTCCCAATCCAATTGGGAACTTCCTTTAAAGTCGGAGTACATCTGCCTGAGAGGCAGCAGTCTGCATAAAATTGAGTCAGATCTGTAAAATGGATGCACACGCAACACTCAGGTTCTTGAACAGGACTACAGTCCAAAAGTGGATGAACAACCAGAAATTTCCGCCAGAGTTTATAGCTGGTGAACACGAAGAAGAAGAAGAAAAAAATTCATTCATTATCGTATTGTGCCATTTTATGTCACATAGGGCTCGCAGCCTAATCCTCCATTCCATTCAATCCTGTGCAATCCCTTCAGTATCATGGATGGAATCCAGTTCAGCAGCTTTGGCTTCTCTCATCAACGTTCCTTTTAGGGTTTCTTTTGGACATCCTCGCTTCCTAAATCCTTTTACTTTCCATTTAGTGCCTGGTTGGTAATTCTCTGCTTGTTTCTTCTCAGGATGTGTCCAATATAGCGCTATCTTTACCTTTTTACTTAACTACAATTAACTCATTCAGTACTAAAAAACTAACTATGTGTTTGTTAGTCCTCACTGTAAGTAAGTAAAGATCCCATTTCACGCCTTTGGTGCATCGGGTATATGGGAAGCGCACCCCATATTTTTACAGACCAATCGGCACTAGCTGGGTAATGTGGTCAGCATTACGCCGGCCGTCTTTACTTCCCCAGGACATACATCCTGGTACCCATTTTAGGCTGGGTCGACCTGTGACGTCGAATACCATGATAACAATCCACGCAGCCAGCAGTGGGTTTCGATCGGGGTACATTGAAATTACGAGTTGGACTCGCAACGTCTAAGCCACGGACGCTGCCAGTTCCCACTGACATAATCCAATTTCCTTATCTCAATGTAAACCACATAGTTGTTATTCTCGCCCACACCATCCCAGTTCTTACTTAACTCCTCCTGTCCCATATGTGCTATTATTTTAACATTTCAGACCCAAATGTTTGATAATTTAAAAGTAAAAATTAAAAGAATAACTCAGTTTAATGTAACCCACAACTGGCACTGAAAGAGTCAATAGCATGACAAGACTCACTGCTGATCAGTGCACTTCTAGACTAAACACAATTTTCTATAGGGTCTCCATAATATCTTGGATACCCCCCTAATATTCTGAGCTGAAAATAGAACATCCCAAGCATGCCCCCCCCCCCCCCCCCCCCGCCCCCCAATTGGGAAAAGTGACAAGGACAAGTGTCATATCATAATTCACTGATTTCCCCCTTGTATTTGCAAAGAGAGTTTCAGTCTTCACTATTTTTCTTATGTCTAATATCTGCTTTCTGTCACTGGGCATCCAAGTTAATAGAAGACTGGTAATGCAGCTAGGGCAAGCTAAGGCTAATTTAACAACCCCCCCCCCCCCCCCCCAAAGATAAACCTTAAACTATATATAAGGAAAAATGACAAGGTTTAATGATTACTTCACATTAAAATTCAGTGACCTTGAATATGTTTAATTCTTCACTATATTTTAAAAATATATAAATATTTAAATAAAAATATTTAAAAAAAAAAAAAAAGCAAGGAAAACATGGCCCCTAAATGTGCTTACAATAGGAGGAAATATGCTTATTTAGATCAAGAAATTCAAATATCTAGGGATGGTGAAAGAGGGTCCCAGGATAGATGAAGACAAACAAAAGGACAGGTAGTTTGTATATGGAAACAAAGTAATCACATACAGAGGAACTGGCCTACTGGTAATGAAAGAGTTGTTGAAAAAGAGACACTGGAAAATACTCTGATTCTCACAAAAACCTCAATGGAGGGGGAAATCTGAAGGCATGCAATCTTCTTTATTTTTTGCATTATTCTTATAAAAGGCGTGTTTACATGCTATTGTGTGATTTACAGCTAGGCTATGGTATCTGTGCCTTTCATCCCAACACAAGTAAATGCAGAAAAACTCTAGTCACCATTTACAACATGCATTAGGGGGCCATGGGTCTATTTTTTTCCCCTCCCCAAATGGCGTCCCAAAACCCCACACGGTTATGGCGGGCAAGCAAGAAGTAGACAGTGATACAAGTGGAAGGCCAACATCAAGAGAAGGATCAAAATCAGTTTCAGAGAGTGTACAACCGAAGCAAGAAATACAATGTTGGAGATTCAATGCTAACAACCTTCTTTGTGAAGATGGCAAATGATTGATCACAACAATAAAAATACCTTCTGCAGGTGTTGGCGATTCCTCAACCTCTTGATTGTGTGTGGAAAACCTTCTGATGGAGAAAGTGACTGTGCGAGTGTGTGTGGTATGTACAATAACACTCTCTGAGCTTTGCGACTGGCAATCAGAGGCAGCACTGCTGCTTGGGGAGAAGAAGGAGCGCTGAGAGGACATGCGTATGGAGGACACATCCTCTGTGTCTGTCTGACTTCGGTTGCTACCAATTTCAATGCTGGGACTTTGTACCTGAAGAGTGAATTATACAAATATTTGCTTCAGCAGTGAAAGATACAATTTATAAAACTGCATCTTATGCCATAAATCCATCACTGGAGGTCTGATAAAAGAATTCTTTCATGCTCAACATAACCAGTTCTAACATGTGGCTGCAAATCCTAGACAATTAGTAAACAAGGTAACATTACTTTGATGTTCTAAAATAGGCTATCTTATTCATTCACCAGCCGTGAATTTCGACGGAAGGTCCAGGCAGCTCATCCATTTGGGCTTTTGGCTTTTACCTGGACCTGAGTTTTGCGTGTACAACCATTTTACTGGCTTTTGTCGTTCCCCGCCTCACGGGCAGACGTACTCCGACTTCAAGAGAAGACGTCAAGCCTATCTGTAGGATGACTGTGGCTAGTGTTATGAAATGGGCTGATAAGTGTGAGGGTTCTGGGGTCCCATTTTGGGAGAAAAAAAATAGAATAAACCCACTGCCCCCTTAGAAGCAGGTTGTAGGCAGCGACTAATTTGGGGTGTTTCCTTCAAAGTCAAAATGCATCTGCCTGAGAGGCAAGGAACCAACAGTCTGCATCTACAAACAAATAAGCTAGATCTGAAAAACAGATGCAAAACTTAAGTTGTGGATCAAGTACAAAGTCAAGGAATAGACGAACCACCAGAATTTCTTGCCAAAGTTTACAGCTGGTGAACACTAAGAAGAAGAAGAAGAAATAGGTTAAGGCCTGAAGACGTTTCAGAAATATTAGAAAAAACCATTCATCATTCTGAGGCCATATTATGAGAAGGAAAAAACTGGATCATTAACAGCTGGAAATATCTAAAGAATGAGACATGGAAAGATGGAGACATTTCATCATGGCAGGGAAGGGTGTCAGCATACAGTGATTAAGACATGATTGTGGAGACCTTCTTCTTCTTAACGCTCACCAGCTATAAACTCTGGCAAAGGTTCTGACTGTTTGTCCAATTCTGGATTTTACTCTTGTTCCAGAACATGATTTTGCACGCATATCTGTTTTAAGGATCCGGCTTACATGTATGCAGGCTGTTGGTTTCTCACCTCTCAGGCAGATGGGTTTCGACTTCTGAAGACACACTCCTAATTAGTCCCCTTGTATGACATGCTGGTTAAGCAGGCAGCTGGTCTATTATTTTTTCATCAAAATGGGGCTCCTGAACCCACACTGGGGAATTATGGAAACTAATTAGCTTGACAGGAAGCCGGATGGAGCTAACAGTGAAAATGTTAGTTTGGCATCATCCCATGGAAGGACATGTGTAACAGAAATGATTAACAGTACATGAGACAGAAGGCTGTGGACAAACACAACTACCAACACCACATAGCATGAACTGTAAGTGGCATCCCTCCTTTCTTTGGATGATTTTTAATTATGGAAAGAAAATGTTAAAAATGCATCCAGCTATCTTGTTATTCTTGTGGGTACTGGGTTAGTCAGATGGCAAATAAATACATAAAACCATTGGAGGAAACATTACCAACAAAATCTCAATCAGTCAAAAGGTGTGTGTGCTAAACTGTGACCTGGTTACTCTTAATATGTCTTTTTTGCTGACGTGTCCAGTGCCGGTACTGCACACAACCCATTGGATTCTAAGCTTGGCCAAGGGAAGGGGTGCTCAATAATACAGCAGAGTTAACAGTTATGACTTGGGTTATCTTCACAGCACTCCGGACATATCCATATGTGCTCAGATTCCCCCTTCAACACATACATCAGAAGTTTATCAGGCAGGAGGAAAAGACTACACAAATCTAACTCTAATATATAATGGCTCTTTTCCCCGCTCATCAGTAAGTAAAGTAATGGACTCTTTTCCCCGCTCATCAGTAAGTAAAGTAATGGACTCTTTTCCCCGCTCATCGGTAAGTAAAGTAATGGACTCTTTTCCCCGCTCATCGGTAAGTAAAGTAATGGACTCTTTTCCCCGCTCATCAGTAAGTAAAGTAATGGACTCTTTTCCCGCTCATCAGTAAGTAAAGTAATGGACTCTTTTCCCCGCTCATCAGTAAGTAAAGTAATGGACTCTTTTCCCCGCTCATCAGTAAGTAAAGTAATGGACTCTTTTCCCCGCTCATCAGTAAGTAAAGTAATGGACTCTTTTCCCCGCTCATCAGTAAGTAAAGTAATGGACTCTTTTCCCCGCTCACCAGTAAGTAAAGTAATGGACTCTTTTCCCCGCTCATCAGTAAGTAAAGTAATGGACTCTTTTCCCCGCTCATCAGTAAGTAAAGTAATGGACTCTTTTCCCCGCTCATCAGTAAGTAAAGTAATGGACTCTTTTCCCGCTCATCAGTAAGTAAAGTAATGGACTCTTTTCCCCGCTCATCAGTAAGTAAAGTAATGGACTCTTTTCCCCGCTCATCAGTAAGTAAAGTAATGGACTCTTTTCCCCGCTCATCAGTAAGTAAAGTAATGTACTCTTTTCCCCGCTCATCAGTAAGTAAAGTAATGGACTCTTTTCCCCGCTCATCAGTAAGTAAAGTAATGGACTCTTCCCCGCTCATCAGTAAGTAAAGTAATGGACTCTTTTCCCCGCTCATCAGTAAGTAAAGTAATGGACTCTTTTCCCCGCTCATCAGTAAGTAAAGTAATGGACTCTTTTCCCCGCTCATCAGTAAGTAAAGTAATGGACTCTTTTCCCCGCTCATCAGTAAGTAAAGTAATGGACTCTTTTCCCCGCTCATCAGTAAGTAAAGTAATGGACTCTTTTCCTCGCCTTTAGGCGTACTTGGCCTATAGAGCTAGACCTACATTTTATAGACCAACTGGCACTTGGTGGGTGATGTTGTCAGCACCACACTGGCCGCCTTTACTTCCCAGGACTGTACCTGGTAACCACTCAAGACTGAGTGCTAAGATAATTTTTTTTTTAAAGTCCGGCTCCGTCAGAACCCGAACCCGCAATCTCCCAATCTGCAGGCAAGTATCTAGCTGCTACACCAAGGCGACTCCAACTGAACACCAGAGCAAGAGTTAAAACACTGTCTTCCAGGGAACTCATAATCAACAATATAACCATCTTAATGATGAATATAATAAATGAATTTTTAATGCATGACTACCCAGCTGAGACTGAGCTCCAACACTGATGCCTAGAGAGCTCTTGCATTCAGGAAAACTGCATCCTGCAGAGATGTTAACATATTTCTAATGTTGAATTTTTAATTAGGAATCGACATCGTAGCAATTGGGACACTCGCATAAACACTCCGTCCCCATCTTCAGCAACAAGCAAAGAGTTCCAATTCTGACGGCACCAGTAACTGTCTGACTGTATATCCATCCGTCCCACCCTTCCCCTTAGTGTTGAGTGTCTGCCAGATCCCCTGGTAACTCGTCGCAGTGCCATCTCCTCAGACCGTAATGATCTATCTATCTGTGCCTCCTAATTGTTCTCTTGCACACAATATCTAGTGGCTAGGTTTCTAGTCTACAAGTGAACATAATATTACAATTTACGCTGTTATTTCCTCAAGAACATGGAGATGTGGCTACTGTTTGTCAAGAGTTGACTTTTAAAAGAAGAAAAAAAAGGTGCTTAAAATGCAACATTGACTTTATTGCACTAGGTAGGGAATTTTTTCTATTGCGTCTACAAACCCCTTCCTCACCCTTGGTGCATTCAGGGGCAGCACTAAGCCTATATTTTTAAAGGCCAATCGGGCAGTCAATGGGTGATGTGGTCAACATTATGCCACCCACCTTAACTTCCCAGTATAGTACCTGGCACCCATTTTAGGCTGGGTCAGCCTGAGAGCAAATTTTACTATTAATTGCTTCCCTTATTGGCCCCGGCAACACATGTAAGTATTTAATCACCCTTTTCCACGCCTTTAGGCGTCTAGGGCTAGACCTATATTTTATAGACCAATCTGCACAAGATGGGTGATGTGGTCAGCATCACGCTGGCTGCCTTTACTACCCGGGACTGCACCCGGTACCCACTCAAGGCTGGGTCGACTTGAGAGCCAAGGTCATTTTTGAAAAAAAAGTCCAGCTACGCCAGGGTGCGAACCCACGACCTTCTAATGTGCAGGCGAGCACCTAGCAGCTCCACCATGGTGATTCCTGGCAACACATGAGTTTACGCATTTTACATAACCTCATTTATGTGGCCTAAAACTGTTTACTCCATTTTGCAGTAACCAGCATGAGATTCCTTTTAACATCAAAGTTAACATCACTGCATGAAGTTTGATACCATATGGCTCAGTCTCTCTTCACAACTGGGATTAACCCACATGAATCTGTAGCTCCGGCAACGATCCCCCGGGATCTATGTAAAAACTGCACTTGTTAAGAGTCAAATGAACTCACCTGAACAACAGGTGGTGGAGGAGACATGATATCTGGAAGTTGGGCAAGCTCCACTGGACGCTCACACGACTGGCTACTGGTGACCACACTGGAGACAATGCTATGGCTTAATCCAGGGTTCGTTTGACCAACTGCTTGTCCGAAAACCAGCGACACTCTGTTGGCAGAATCTGAAAACCCTGAGCTTTTTGGAGACTTTGGAGATTTGGGAGAAAGACATTCGTGACTAGTCAGAAAATGGCTGGTTCCAATTTTAACAGGTGGGGCAGCTTCGTTGTTACTGTTACCCATGTTTTTGGCTCTTAATGCTGGTCTATGGCTGTTAACAGTGGAACAACCGCAGTTGGAGCCCGGACGAGTGTTGCTCCCACTGATCCCGTGGACACACTTTTCACATGCTGTTCTGGATTTATCACAGCTGGACTTTGTTGATTTGGATTCACTTTGATCTGTGTCACTAAGTTCTGAAATGTCTGCGGAATAAAAATTCTCCTCTTCCTCCTTCAGCGGAAGAGGTGAATCTGAACTGTTCCTGTGTTTGGGGCTGATGTCTTGAGCTGGTTCCTCCTGTTCGGTGAAATATGTGCTAACTGTTCCAAAGATGGACAGGTCTGATCCAAGAATGACCTTCTCAAGGTCAGCCTTGGACTGGAATTCTTCCCGCTCCATGGCCAATCGTCCCTCTGTATCAAAGCTATTTAGTGGAAGTTGTGTATCAATCTGTGGAGAATGAAGAAACTAGTAAACTAATACATCAGATCAAAGAAACAATTTTTAACTAATATATAGGATTAAAAAAAACATTCAACTAATGTATACATATTAAGAAAACTATTTTAATGACAAATAAAACTGATAATACAGTTAATTAATATATAAGATGGAAGAAACCATGAATTAATTTATAAGATTCAATATACTACTGAACTAATGTTAATGTATATGAATAAAGAAAACATCTCCAGTTATATATCAAAATTAGGAAACCATTAATCTAATGGACAGGGCTTAAAAAAGTATTTAAATAATTTATAAGAATGAAGAAATCTCTTTTCTTCTTCGTTTTTACTGGCTGTAAACTTCAGCGGAAAGTTGTGATTGTTCCTCCACGTCTGAAATTTTGTATTGTTCAAGAACCTGAGTGTTGTGTGCACATCTGTTTTACCGATTCGACTTAGGTGTTAAAATTATACACCGCATTGGCAACTATGAACCTCTTTTAACTACAGTGTGAAGGCGAAAATGCAATGATATGGACATTAATAAGATCTAACGGCCTCTCAAAAACAACACTGCAGGGTTCAGTAGAGGAAAAGAGAAGAGGCAGACCAAGAAAGACCTGGTTACAGAACCTGACTGACTGGACAGGCCTCAGGCATGCAACCATGAGGTCCATTGCAACTGACCTCCTATGGTGGAGAGAGCTGATCAGACAGTCAAGAGAAACTGGAAACCCAACGACATGCAGTGTTACAGGATGAAGATAATGGCTGCCTGTGTTGTACTGAGGTTGAAAGCAGATGCCAAACAGTTGCTAGACATGGTCTCAAGCTTCCCGGTGGTAGGTAGAGGATCACACAGTAGTGACAATGGCTGCGGTCACCCAAACAGTATGGTTACTGCCAAGAAGGAAAGCAATGGCAAACTTCTTCAAGCTACCAAGAACTCATGATTTCACAGCTTACAAATCTTCGGCAATTGAACTGATTCAGCTTTCACAACAAGGGAACAGAAATCCTTAACCCACTGCAATTTAATAACTTCTTTTCTTCTTCATATTTCTGTTTTCCCCATTATGCATTACAGTGTCAGATTGTGAAGAGCTTCTATAAAAATTATTTGCGAAGGCTCTGTATTTGAATGAATGATTGATTTGATTCAAGAACCGACATCACAGCACTCGGGGCATTCCTATAAGTGCTCCGTCCCCATCTTCAGCAGCCAGCGAAGAGTTCCGAAACTAATGGTGCTAGTAGCATTCTGATTAAACGTCTGTCTTGCCTTTCCTCTGAGCCTTGAGCAACGGCCAGAACCTCTCGTCACTGCCCGCTGCATCAATCTCACCAGACTGTGGTGATACATCTGCTCCTCCAAACTGTACACGCTCTCCCACAAGGCACTAACCACGTCTGCCTTATCATGTATCAGTATTCCACCAAGTTGTGCTGAGCCAGCCAGTCTCCCCGCCTGTTCATTTCCCAACACACCAGCGTGGCCCGGTGTAAAAATCCAGACAATACTCCTCACCCATGTCCTCCACAGCAAAGCATGCCACTCTGTACGAAGCATACCTGTTCTGATCTTCCTCAGCATGCTTTCTGAATCAGTTACAATCACGATGTGTGTGTGCGTGTCGTGTTCTCTAGCCAGCGGAAAGCTGCAGTGACCGCCTCCACCTTCATTCTTAAGCTGGATGTTGTGGTATCATATGTTAGGCTCTTCTGCACCAAACGTTGACCATTAACTTTTGCTAAGAAGCCCCAAGCACTTCTTTTGCCTCTTGACACTGAACTCTCTGTGTAAATGATCAAATCCTCTGAGCAAGCATTATCTTGAATTAATTGCTGAATTTCCACCTCTGTGGCACCTGCTGGCCAGTCTCTGCATTCCCGGCTCAGCGTGATTATGACTCGACACAAGTCTGACTGTTCAGGTGGCACTTTGGCCCACTCCTCTCTTCACTTAATGTTCTCAAGGATGCAAACCTATGTATATGAATGAATCTGCTTAGACAAATGAACAGATTTAAATTTTCAACTATACTATATCATTACCTTTCCTTTGGAGCAAACAATGCAGGCAGAGATAGGAATCATGCTGTATGGATAAGGCATGGTTTCTACAATACTCCCCCAGACTGTGCGCCAGGGAGATTAGGAACGTCCACCCTGGCCTTAATTGGTCTTTAAATTGGTTATCATGGGGTGCTATTCCCATGCCTCTCTAAAGCACAATGGAACACTTCTTCTTCTTATTTTATCTTACTGCTTATACCAGTGATTCCCAAACTCTGCTCCGTGGTGCCCCGGGTAGCCGCGACCCCTTCACAGGGGCGCCGCAAAATACTTGAAGATTCACAAGTTTTTTTGTTTTTTTTTAATCTCTCCATACGAATAGTCATACTTTTACTTAAGTTAGGGTGCTGTGGACAATTTTTGTTGAAAAAAGGCACAGCGACTAAGAAAAGTGTGGGAAACACTGGTTTATACCGTGAAGCGTTGCAGAGAGGAGTTAAATGTAGTTTCCTGCATTTTGCCAGTTGTGTAGCTTGTGTTAATCTTATACTGTGTTTCTGTAGTTTTTTTTCTTCTTGTTTTTTTGTTTAAACTCCATCCACCCATGTCTTTCTTGGTCTGCCTCTTGCCTTGTAGCCTGCACACATAAAGTAAGCTCTAGTAGCTGGCTGGTTTTGTTCCATTCTGACCTGAAGACCAAACCCTGTGATTATCTGATGTTCCAGGATATCATTTACTTAAATGGTATCAGCTGAACACTACTGTTTGGAAAAAATGAAAGGTACCAGCTATACTACCTCAATTTATGAGGTAAAATTCAGAAAATGACAAGTGGCCTGTTGCACACAAAAACTTACGGTGCCTCATGCTACTAACTGTGTGTGCAACTACTGATCTGAACTGCTGCTTCCATCCACAATAAACTGCATTTCTAGCGTTGGACTGTTCTGCTGGTATGTGCACATGTTATTAGCTTTGCCAAAATTGCAGTCTGTGACATTTTTTCATGAGACAGGGATGGACATTCTGTGTCGTTTTTATTGGCATTGGAACGGGGCTACTATAGTGTGACCCGTTTACTATGAGGTTTGAACTGTGATTACCTGTTATGAGGTATTTCTTGTACAGGTTCTGCACCCTATTGTGGGGGAAACATGAATAGACCCACTGCCTCTTCAACAAACATGTCATAAGAGTCTACTAACTAGGTGCTTCCTTCAAAGTCAGAGGGCATCTACCAGAGAGGCAATGAGCCAACAATCTGCATACAAAAAAAGTCAGATTTGTGAAACAGATGTGCAGGCAAAAACTCAGGTTCTAGAATAAGACTAAATTCTAGAGATGGATGAACAACCAGAACTTTCTGCTAGAGTTTACAGCCGGTAAACGTGAAGAAGAAGAGAGGTAAGATGACACTAAAACCCTCTTTAGTTATTCACTACCATATGCAATGTTTTTACAGTGTTACAATTGCACGTCTCTGTAACACGCAGGTTGAAGGCAGTTCCACCATACATAAGTCACTTACCTGTAAAGCCACAATGGAATCTCCAGTATTAAGAACTGCTATACCATCCACCCGTAGCTGTACCCGTGGAGAAAAGAAAGGGAATGGTGGAGCCAGCTCAAATTTGCTGTGCACACAGAAGCTGTGACGAAGGCACTGCTGTATGGATGGCACACTGGGCACAACTGTGTGGGGCCAAAAAATTTAATCTTGACGTTACAAAATAAGTGGTAATTCTGATGCTGTTTGTTTAACATACTGCTGTCATAAATGTATATGAATGAAACCAATAAAAACAAACATGTGCATTACATTCTCAATGGAAACAACTCCCCAGAGTTTCAGTTCAGAATTGTGTGTTTTTGTTTAATCCTGTTAAACTATTTTATTAAACCATCAATGCCCTATTAGCCTGCCTTCCATTTGCTCTTTTTCTAATCAATTTGTAAGCTGTGACTTACTGTAAAAGCTTGTGTATCCGTATAACATACTGAACTCTTACTGATTTACACTTTCTAATCCATGTGTAGTTTTCATCGACTTTTCTCTATCAAATAATTGTTCATTAAAAAAAATTAAAAAAAAACACTAATAAATCCCCTATAGGTTAGAGGTAAGAGGGTCAAGTTTACTGCACCAAGTTTTTTACTGCAAGGCTTGGTCCCTCTATACAGAACGGCTAGCTGCCTGCCGACAGCATCACATAAAGCAATAACTCAATAGCTATGGTGATGATCCAAAGGAATCTCCATTGAAACTGCACTCATGACGCAGCCATGAAATGAACCCATTACCTTCAGACCACAAGGCAACCGCCTTGACCACTTCACGACGGAAACTCCCATACATTCAATAAAATACAATGAAAACAGCAATCACGGATATATTAAACTATATCAATCTGTAGATAAAGTAACTAGACATTTTTCCAAATGCTGGTATGACCCAACTGTACTACAACAGTAAACTTTGTCACCGCTCTAAAGAAATTCTCAGATTGTCTTGGACGAAAAAGAGGAGAAATACTGACATCTTGAAAGATCTGAACATCAAGGAAGATTAGCTAATAAACGGCACCCTGTCTCGGAAGCTGAAATATTTTGGTCATATCAAGCGCCACAACGGATTGGAAAAAATTATAGCAGAAGGCATGGTACCCGGAGGGAGGGGCAGGGGCCAACCAAAACGAAGATGGGCACAGGATATAAGTGACTCCTTTAGTACGAAAGTGCATGAGGCGGGAGAGCTGGCGAGAGACCGAGTTTCTTTCAGGCAAACCATGATGAGAATGACAATCTGCAAAGGACCTGCTACATGATGATGATGACGGTATGAGGAACCCATGGCATATTTTTAGGGACCAATCAGTATTAGATGTGGTCAACGGCACACTGGCCCTCTAGTTTCCACAACCTCTTCCATCCATATTTTAAGGCTGGGTCAACTTAGGGACCCAGGGCATTTTATTTTTCAATCCAACCCCAAAGAGGAAAAGTAAATAAGAAATTAAACCGTTTAACTATTTTTTAAAAATGAAAAAATACATATATATATATATATATATACATACAAATGATGATGATGAGGAATACATTAGCAATCAACAACTTTGTGCTTCTAGGATGCAGAAACAATGGAATGGTTATAATATTTTGCTGTGTGTTTCTTAGCACCTTCTCCGCCTTTTGAAGCTGTCTATCTTTGATCTGGCTGCGATGTATTATTTGCCATTTGATGTGACCACGCCCACTCACTTGTTTAGGCTTCCAGCAGCCTATGTCAGTACAAACGTGTTTACCAGTTGTCACTTAGCTTTCAAATTTACATCTCCTCTAATGTCCCAAAAATCTTGACTTTCTACACATAACTAAGTGTTTGAATTCTTTTAATAATCACAAAAATCCATTAACAATATTAATGGTGCTTTATTAATATCCTACCCCAAACAGGGGAAATCCACAGGCAATGGGACTTAACATTTCAGGGAGGTGGTAAATAGGCTGTATGCAGTCATGGGACCTAGGCAGTATGCAGTCGTGGGATCTAGGCCACACTCTCTAGTGGGACGTAGGTGGGTTGGGCCTAGGGCCAGTTCTAGATGTTTGGGGTCGTTAAAAGCACCAGAAAGTCGGGAAACCCAGTCTTACCACCCTCTAAATTGTTGGACTGTCCTGTGACGTCATCTGGGGTAGGATATTAATAAAGAACCATATTAATACATTAGCCCCTACCTAGCCACTATGGTGTAGTGGCTAGATGCTGACCTGTGAATCCAAAGGCTGTGGGTTCAAATCCAAACAATATTTGACTTTTCTTAAAATGACACCGACTCCCAAGTCGGCAGTGCCTTACAGATGGTAGCAGGTAAAAGTTCTGGGAAGTAATCTGATGCTGACCACATAGCTCATCAAGTGCTAAATCAAGGTCTAAAAAATAGGTCTAGACTTATATGCCCAAAAAGGGCATAGGAAAGGGTCCATTTTACCTTCAAAAACAATCCATTAACCACGTCAAAGTTATAAACAATCACAGAGAAAAACCAACCATGTGCATGTATCTGACAATCATGACACTCCCCAAGAGACGGGACAGCGGTCACAGTCAGATAACACTGACACCCATCCTCTCCTTGTGGTGTGCTGTTGATCAATGCAAACAACAAGAATAACACAAACTGTAAAATATTATGCTAAATCTATAGATGTGGGGAGCTGCCGTGGTGTTGGTGGCAGCTAGAAGTCCGCCTGCGGATTGGAAGGTCATGGGTCTGAGTACTAACAGAGCCGGACTTTTTTTTTTCAATGACCTTGACTCCCAGGTCGACCCAGCCTTGAGTGGGTACCAGGTGAAGTCATGGGAAGTAAAGGCGGCTGGCAAGATGCTGACCACATTTCCCACCAAGTGTCGATTGGTCTATAAAAATATAGGTCTAGCCCTACATTCCCAATATGCCTAAAGGCATAAAAAATGGACCTTAACTCTACTATACAGATGTGGACGGAAGACAAGGGGAATGTCAACTTTTTAAAAATATATAATGTGGGCAAGTTTTGAAAAGTTAGATTTATAGTAGGGCAGTTAAAAAAAATACATTACTACTGGATGTTTAAAAAAAGTTTTATGGTAAACTCAAAGATTTATGATAGACAGTCAAAATAATTGATTGTAGGCTGCCTCTCAGGCAGATGTACTCCGACTTTGAAGGATGCTTTCAACTGGCAAACTCCTAGGACATGCTTGTTTGGGAGGCAGTGGCTCTATTTTTGTTTTCCCCACAGTGGGGCCCCTGAACCCACACAGGGACCAAAACCTCTGTATCTGTTTGCATTGTTTCCACATACAAACTATGTATAGTTATTTTGTGAAGTTTTTCTCTGTAGTCGCATCACTGACCAAGTTGTTGTATCTACGCAGATGAAGACTCACTAGCCGCAATCATTACTGTGTTTTGTTGTTAGGAAGTTTACTAGCTGTACTACTCGTTCAGGTAAAGTTTTTTTTTTCAAGGTACATATGGACCACTCCATCCCAAGTAAGAGTCATAAAATATTTGTTACTTACCTATGACCATAAATGGTCACTTTAGTTCTGTCTTCGGGCCACTCACAGTAGGCAATAAACAAGGAATGGAAGATATTTTCCTCTCCAAACAGACGCACTTCAGATATCTGAATAACACAAGCAATGACCAGTGTTAATGGGTGAATTATTTTATCATCCTCATCATCATGTAGCAGGTTCTTTGCAGAACGTCGTTCTCATTATGGTCTGAATGAAAGAAACTTGGTCTCACACCAGCTCTCCCGCCTCATGCACTTTCATATTCAAAGAGTCACTAATCTTCTTCTTCTTCATGTTCACCAGCTGTAAACTCTGGCTGTTCAACCATCTCTGGACTTTAGACTTGTACCAAAACCTGAGCGTTGTGTGTACATCTGTTTTACAGTTCCAACTTTATGCAGAATGTTGGTTCCTTGCCTCTCAGGCAGATGCACTCCCACTTCGAAGGAAACCCTCAATCAGTCTACTCTTTCGACATGCTTGTTAGGGAGGCAGTGGGTCTATTCTTGTTCTCCCCACAATGGGGTCCTGGAATCCCCACAGGGACGAGTAACTTATATCCTGTGTCCATCTTTGTGTTGGTTGGCTCCTGTACCTCTTTCATGGTACCATCATCATCATCCTTTGCGTGCTGTCAGACGTCATACAGGGCTCGCATTTTATTCCTCCAATCCGCTCTACTGCATGCAATTTTCTTGATTTCTGACATGGAGTTCATCACAGCATTTTTGGCCTCTTGACATAATCTTCTGCTCAATGTTCCCCCTGGACGCCCGTGTTTGCTCAGATCATTTGTTTCCAATTTCCGTGCCTGTTTTGTTATTCTTTGCTCATTTCAGAGTGAGCCCAATATATCTCCACCTTCTTTGTCTTATTGCAGTTGATACCGATATGTGTCCGATCTTCTCATTCTTTTAATTTATCTCATTTTATGTTCACGACTTTTCTCAGACATTTATTTTCAAACGTATTTATCTTTTGCTACATATCTTTGGTGGTCTTCCACCTTTCGCTGGCAGAATTGAAATAATGTTTTAATTGAAGATTTTTAGTTTGGTCTTAAAGCTGTATAACTTGGAGCTCCATATTTTGTTATGGCTTTTAAAGACTGTTGTTGCTTTGCCAAACCGTATCATAATGTCCTTTGTTCTCTCTGAGAGTCAAAATTGCTACCCAAATTGGTGAAATGGTCTGTTACTTCTACTGGTGTGTTCTCTAGCATGACCTCTAAATGATCTGTTGGTATCCTTAACCCTCTTAGCACGGACGGGCCGATTATCGGCCGGCGGATGTCTTGCCAAAAACACGGAACAGCCGATGATCGGCCCGATCGTGTTTCGCCTCGAACCGCTAAGAAATCTCCTACTTTGAAACACTGAAAGTGAATCATTTATATTAACTGCGGTATCAGCTTTACACATGGCGACTTTCGAGTGTTTGGTATCGAAGTGAAAATTGTTGTTGAATTTTTTAGATAGTGACCTGAACCGCTAAAAGTATGTCTGACTCGTATGTTTCTGCCCCTAAACTTGATGTTGATAAAACATTTGAATCAAGTGTTGACACTAATTCTGTTGATACTGATGCAGGATTTAGTGTTAGTAGTTATAGTGGGAATCAGATGGGGACGCTGTTGTGTTCAGACCACAGCCCAACCATGGCTCAGGGTATATCCACCCGAAGGTGTTGACACTCCGGCACATCCATTTATAGTGCTGACTGATGGTGAAAAAAACACATGTCACCTAAAGATATTATTGCTGTTTCACATATATATACATGTTTTTGACTATTGAATTGCTTACAACATTTGTAAAAAGGCCAAAGATCAATAAAAAGATTTCAAATAAAAAAAATTTTTGTTTTTAGTTTTATGTTTCAAGCTTTGAAGTTGAAAATTCAAATTCATATTTTCTATTTTTAGATATGCAAATGAGATAATTTGCATATACATCAATTAATTTTAACGATATTGTGAAAATCACGAACTTCAATCTATATCCTTCAAATAGATATATTATTTCATAGGGGTCAGAATAACAGAAATCTGTCAAAAAAATTAAATAAAGTAATAACCAAATTCACTGAAAAAATGCTCCGTGTTTTTGGCTAGACCTCTGAAAAACTTCCCGTGCTAAAAGGGTTAATATATTTGTTTTCTCATAACTTATATTTAGTCCTATTTGTGATGATGTAGATTACAACTGGTCTGTTTTTCTTTGCATGACTTTGTTATATTTACTTAACAGAATAATATCATCTACAAAATCCGGATCTTCCAGTTGTTTATTCTCTACCCATTCAATGCCAGTACTGCCTCTGCAACATTTTTCCATTACCCAATCAACAGCTACTCCAAACAACAAGGGACAGTTTCTACTAAAAAAATCAGTCACTTAGACCATTTTCAGTGTGCACTGCACATTCTGCCACATCGTTTAAATTTCTAACAATGCATATTATTTTAGCCGTTGCATTCCGTAATTCCCCATAGTGATCACTTGCAGCCTCTGCTTCCCTGTATGCACAGACATCCATTAAAGAGGTTCTGAATTTTCTGTTGATCTGGTTCTGGGTCATCAGCAGGTCGTTTGTTTTTAATTTTTTTTTAAATCCACCATAGTGTCTGATATGGCCAAAACTTTTAAGCTGCCAAGACAAGATGCTGTTTATTAGCCAATCTTCCTTGATGTTCAGAACTTTTAGATTGTCAGTATTTCTTCTCTTCTTTCTTCTTCTTCTTCTTTTGTCAATATCTGCTTATGCTGCTAGGCGACGCAGTTCATCAAACGATCGGCAGCCGAGCGAGGGCACACTTAGTCGCTTCATATGCTGTGATGTTATGCAGTCTCAAGGTGTCACTGAATCCTTCAATCCATGTTCTTCTCGGTTTTCCCCTGCCTCTTGGGGTTTCAATTTTCAAGTTGTATGCTCTTGCTGCTGGCATTGTTGGTTTCATTCTCATTAGATGGCCAAACCATTTCATTTTTTTTTCTCAACAACTTTGACAATGGATGCTGTTCCAACAGCTCTTGTGATCATATCGTTTCTCACTCAATCTCTTCTGGTTTTATTCACAGCCATTCTCAAACATCTCATCTCACAGGTAGTTAGTTTACTTTTGTGTTCTATTGGACATCCAAGTCTGACACTTACCAGTGTCTTACTTACCTAAAGTCGGTAGAAAAATTGTATTTATAATTTGTTTATCTGTCTCTGTTGGGATAACAGACTGTTTTTAAATTAGAGCAAGTTGGTATGTGACATTGCTGGCTTGTTAAATTCTCGTTTGTATCTCTCTGTCTATTTTACCATTATATGTAACATTGCTTCCCAAGTATTAACATTTTTGCACTTGTTTTATACTTTGATATTTGATCTTTATGTTGATGGTCCGTTGCTCTCTACTTATTCTCATGACTTCTGTTTTTTTCAATATTGATCTTCATTTGATGTTTAAGGCAACTATCGTGTAGTTGGTTTATATGGTCCTGTAGCTGTTTGCTTTCACTGCAGAATATGCACTGATCATTGGCAAAGAGCAGATCATTGAAGTTTATCGACGTCTGGTGGTGTTATGTCTATTTTATTAATGCTGTCCATGGTATTCTGATAATCTTTCTATAGCATTTTAGCTCAAAGTCCCTATTTTCTTCCTCAAGGACTGGAAGATAGTCCATGACTCACACCAGTATACTGCTACAGGGAAGATACAGGCTCTCAAAATTGTGATTTCCTTGCTGGAGCTTAATCATAAAGCAAAGGTAAAGGACAATTTTCATGATATTGATGCATTGGGCATATTGTGCCAAAGCAATAATTGTATGGACAGACTGGATAGATCACTCAATGGGTGATGACAGCAACATCACACCAGCCACCTTTACTTCCGAGGACATTTCCTGGCACCCATATTAGGTTGTCAACCTTGGAGCCCTAGGTCAATTAACAAAATCCTCCATTGGATCCCAGCCCACTGCAACCTTATGAAAAATGAAAGAGCAGAATACTTACAACCAAAACTGAGAGCAATGCAGAACAAGCAGGTGTAGGATGGAACACTCCATCCAGAGCACAATCCCAGAGACCCAGTGAAATTCCTCACACCAAAGAAACAGACAACTGTATTTAGACTGTAAACTGGACACAACAGAATCCTCAGCCATGTGTACATGAAATTCAGGATTAGATTCAGAACTCTGCCCATATGAACATGCTCTATACATGCAGCAGTGAGATCCCAAGTCTGGCCAGCTAGCATTCTAGTGGAAACCAAGTTATATGATTCAGTGGAGACACGCACTGCACCACAGCCTTCATAGTGGTCTGTAACCTTTTCATCTGAAAATCCCTAGGCAAGGAGAATGGAAAGAAGAAGTCCTATACCTCTCTGGTCAACCCATCCTTAAAAGAGTATGAGGCATGATGTTGACCACATTCCCCCTCCACCCCAATGAGAACTGATCGAACTATAATCATTTTGGTCTAGCATCATATGGCAGGAAAAGGGTCCTTCAGTTAGATAATTACTTCCCCCTATGGGTTCCGGGCCCTGTTACAGGGAAAACAAGAATAGACCTACTGCCTAGCCACAAGCATGTCGTAAGAGTCGACTAATTGGGAGCTACCCTTCAAAGTTGAAGTGCATCTGCCTCTGCAGCAAAAAAAAAAAAAAAGTCTGCATACAAATTAGTCAGATCTGTCAAACAGATGCACACGCAACACTCAAGTTCTGGAACAGGACTGCAGTCCAGAAATGGACGATCAACCGGAAACTTGCAGCCAAAGTTTACAGCTGGTGAACATGAAGAAGAAGAAGAAAAAGAAGAATTACTTACCAACTTCAGCTTTTTACATGGAATGAAGAGCCACCACTGAAGTCTATATGTGTAGTCTGGATATGCTAAATGTGTATCAGCATCAACCTGAAGTGAGTATGACAGCACATACTGGCCAGATTTGCTGAATCCCAGAAATACATAGCTGTAATGATAGAGACATTCTGATTAATCAGTTGCTTGGGACTAACACCCAAAGGCCCCGCTAAATCTTCATTTTATGGATAGACTGGATAGATCACTCAATGGGTGATGACAGCAAGATCACACCAGCCACCTTTACTTCCAAGGACATTTCCTGGCACCCATATTAGGCAGTCAATCTGGGAGCCCTAGGTCAATTAACAAAATCTGCCCTGATGTGAATTTGAACCTAAGACCTTTGGACCAGCAGGCGAGAGCGTGGCCGCTAGCGAATCTCATCTCTGGCCACAACTGCTTGTATTTACCACTTTTGCTGTGTAGGCAGGGCATCTTCAAACCTGAGGATTTAGGATCATATGAGGATTAAGGATCATATGAAGATTTAGGACCCTATGATGATTTAGGATTGTATCTTCTTCTTCTTCTTCGCGTTCACCAGCTGTACACTCTGGCGGAAAGTTCTGGTTGCTCGTCCACTTCTGAACTGCAGTCCTGCTCCAGAACCTGAGTGTTGCGTCTAAATACTATTCATGAATGCATTGTTGTTAGATAACAAAAATTAACCTCAGTGAAAAGTAGATATAATCATTCTTTTATTCAAACACAATTATGAATAACAAAATAATCATTGCAGCCACAGTCTTCTTCAGCACACAACAACACAATAGTGAGATGGTAAACAATGATTCCCTAGATGTTTACCCAAAGTTGTGTTTTTCATCAGGAAATAAGAAATGTACTTACCCCTCCTCCAGAATACTTGAAGGTACTAAGTACTTCAGACGGTAGCACATGCGACCTGGTATTTTGGAAAATGGTTTCCATTGGGCATCAGTTTTTCTTAAACTGAATCGGCCTGTCAACTGTAGGAGAAACAGTTAAATTTTATGTATACAACAAGAACTAATTTTGGCATTCTTCCGAAAAACGGGCGTAAATTATTGAGGTTAAAAACATACCCCAACAGGGCCTCAATGATGGTTAAATTAGGATGTTTTTCTGGCAAATATGGCAGGCTTCGACAGATTAGCAATAGTGTTCTACTGATTGATGACATGGCAGCTGAAGATGTTCTTTGCCTTAGGGTTAGGGTTGGGGTTAATTATAGTTTATCTCCTAGTTTTCAACAGTTATACTAGATGACCTATTGACCAACTGAGGCCCTGTTAGGGTATGTTTTTAACCTCAATAATTTACGAGTTATTTGGAAAGTGCCCTAATTTCATCTCATTTTTAAAAAAAATCCTTATATTGTTACTTAGAAGAAGACAAGAGGTTAGATAAAATAACATGTGCCAGATTGTAGGAAGGATAAATTATGTGTGAAATCCAGCAAGGAGGGGCATAATAAGAGGAAGAGAATGACGAATTGATAATCAGTGTGCTCGGGGAACAGTTTGCATGTACACCCTTAGGCGTTTGTTTGTTTTGGGAGATGAAGCACTCAAGGGTATGGTCAACTATGATGATTATTATTTCATTATTCTGGTTTTGAGATTCTTACTAAATCAGTAATTTAAACGCAAACAGAAACAGAAAACAACTGAACGAAACTACTGTCAGTTTACAAAATACTGCATGCAAAACATAATGTCTCCCCATTCTTCCTAAACACATTTAAACAATTCTTCGACAGTCTGAAATCGTGGAAAATATGTATAATCCTAGCCAGACAATGCAAGTAAGAAAGAACGAATAGTGACGAAAAGGCAAACAAAAATAATTAAATTAAATCATTTTAAAAACTAACGGCCAATTTAAATTGTTTGGCAATGCAAGATACACCAATTCAAATTAAATGTGCCCCTCTGAGATGCAAACTGAAATCGCCCAGGCTGATGGGCCGCTAGGAACCAAATGTACCTCTCTAACATGAAGTTTTTTGATCAAGCTAACGGCCATTGTCTTGTTGTTGTTGCCGCAGAAGCCGATCTCATCTGCCAGACTCGTCCATTAACTAACGCTTCTACATATCATTAGAGTTATCTCCCGTCCTGCTATCTGACGTCAGTGTGCTCCGGACACACAAGTAAGTGCTCAGTCTTTACCATTTTCTGACTTATGTAAACGCTATTTCAGCTCTGTTTAGTCTCACGATTTACTCTTTTGAGCAACCACTTGAGTCTTATTTTTTACGAAGAGACTCATAGCAGCAACTGATTCAGAAAATGTCAACAGAACAGAACAAGTGAGCAGAAGAGTATATAAATGTGCCTTGTAAAAGGAGTAACAACTAAATTTTTGTAACTGCAGTGTAGTATGCTCCCATGCCATACTCCAGTTTTGGTCGTATGTATCCTGTGTATACTTGTCGTATAGTGTTGGCATCTGCACCCCGGCTTGTTCCAGTAATTGTCTTAATGAGTCTGAGCCGCAGGGTATCTTTCCTTTGGGTGTCTTCAGTGTGGGGGCCATAAGTTAGCCTTTTTCAAATTGCACTCCTAAATATGTGAGGGTTTCCTCTTTTGGAATCTATTCCACTAAGTTTATTAAGGGGACACGAATTTAAAAATGGAGACCGTCAGGGGCCACAAGCCCGAGACCCAGCATTTTAGCTTCTTCAGCATTCCGAGCCCTTGATGTTCATTGCTGCAGATATCACCCGCCTCCGTTCATCTCTCTGATTGGCCTTCTCTTTCCAGTTGGTAACACCAGTGTTGCAGGTCTATTTGGATATTATCTCCATCGTCTTCTTGGTCTCCCTCGTGGTCTACGACCATTCATCTCCCTTGTGTTGCCATTTTTTACTATTCCGTCATCTGACATTCTTTCAATATGTCCCAACCATTTCAGTCTATTAGCTCTTATGATGCCAGTGATCAGTGGTGATTTAAACAGACCATGAATTTCGTTGTTGTTTCTCACTCTCCATTCATCGCTGTTTTCATCATTAATGGGTCCAAAGATTCGTCGTAAACTCTATTTTCGAAAACCTGTAATAAGGCTTTATCTCTTTTAGTTGTGCATTTTTCTCCAACGATATCAATGTCATCAGCATATCAGCCCCAGCCAATAAATATTGTTAAATACAATACAGCTGGCAACGATCTGCGGACCACTTGCTAGGTCTTCGCGGGTTAGTTTTGGCCCTCAGATCGTTACCAGGGGAATAGCATTGGTAGAGCAATCGGTTTTTGAAGGGTGATCTGGTCAAGGTAACTCCCACCGCTTTTACCTCTTATAACATTCTGAAGTGCCCATTTAGTTAGTTAGTTAGTTAGTTAGTTAGTTAGTTAGTTAGTTAGTTAGTTAGTTAGTTAGTTAGTTAGTTAGTTAGTTAGTTAGTTAGTTAGTTAGTTAGTTAGTTAGTTAGTTAGTTAGTTAGTTAGTTAGTTAGTTTAGTTAGTTAGTTAGTTAGTTAGTTAGTTAGTTAGTTAGTTAGTTAGTTAGTTAGTTAGTTAGTTAGTTAGTTAGTTAGTTAGTTAGTTAGTTAGTTAGTTAGTTAGGTTATCATCATTGTACTCAGGACATGTCCATAGGTGCTCAGATCCTCCCCTCAGTATGAACCCCAACGTCCGATGGCTAATAGTACCAGTTCTATGTTGATTAACAAGTCTTCTGACGTGTCTGGTGTGCGTCTCGTTTTTTGCTGTGCCGATCTAAATTCCCAAGTCTGCCATTCTGGCGAGTGATGAGGATTCACTGCCATCAAAGTCCTCTATCCTTCCCATTTCTCTGAGGGCATTGATAATATCAGCATGATCCATAGGCTGACCGTCGATAGTGATAGCGGATCCAGCCAACCTGTCAGCTCTTTCATTTCCATCGACGCCTGCGTTTCCCGGAACAAAAATAAAGGTGACTCCACGCACAGTGAACTTCTGTAATGACAAGCCATTGTCTCTCTTCGCACTGAACCTGCCTGAACCCTCCGGATCATACTCATTGAATCACTGTATACATACGCGGGTGTATTTCTGTGTTTCAAGCCAGGCAAACGCTTGCGTCATTGCCATAACCTCCATCGTCATGCTGCTGGTTGTCATGGAGAAGGCGCCGTTGGCTTCTTTGACTGTTCTGCCCGCTGAGCGTGCTGTAAATGCCCATGCGCTTCTTCTTTGGCGTATAACGGATCCGTCTGTATAGATTGGTGCATCTGCTTCGTCTGAATTTTCACCGATGACCTCTGCATTAACAGCAACAGGATCCTCTTCTCTACATCGCCTGTTCAGTGTGACAATACAGGAAAATGTACAAATAAACGCCATCCCGATGAAGTGCCCAAGTTATTACAAAACAATTCGATAATGTTCGAAACATTGAGACTGCGTCCCAATTATTGATTAGTGATTAGAAAGGATTATCATCACAGCACTCCGGGCAGATTTCCTCCTCAAAAGCTCCATAAGTGTAAAACGACTGATGAAGCCTATTCTGTGTATGTTAATGAAACGTCTTGTCTCCTTAATAAAATATTCATTTCATGCAGCTCCAGGCTGCACCCCAATGTCCAACAGTCTAGACAGGGATACAGTTATGTCCTTTGGCTTGATCCTCGGTACGGTAAGTGCAGCGAATGGCATTGATTCTGCGTCCCAATGTTGGAGGCAATTTGTTGTTGTTTTATAGCCCCACTCTGGCTGTTGCCATGGGCCCTAATGTAACGCAACCTATGGGTTGAACGGTGTTTCTGGGACCTGTCTCCTGGTGATCCTCATCCGAATCGTGGCACTTTGTGTCACCGGGTGTTTATCGCTCGATGTGATGTCCTGGTGGGGTTTAACGTCAGTCAGTCAATGTTTGAAACCATATCCTTCGGGCTGGTAAACAGATGCCTTATACTATTATTACACCACAAAAAGTCTATTTAACTTGGCTGAGCTTGAAAACATTGACTGGATCACTAAGGTGACCATGGCTGACAAAAAATATGTTATCTTCATGCCAGACGATGCTGATGTACCAAGAAACGAACAAGCTGATAGGCTTGGTGTCGGGGACTACAGTGCTGGCCAATAGGCTGGATTACAGTAGCTGTGTTAGGGGACAATCTACATTGAAAGTTGCTCTTTCGTCACAATTTCACTCATGAAGCATATGATTTCAGGACTGGCTACTCGGGAACCGAGGTTTCTTCTTATTCTTCGTGTTCACCTGCGGAATGTTCTGATTGTTCGTCCACTTCTGGACTCTAGTCCTATTTCTTCTTTTTATTTGCGTTCGGGTTCGTATGCTCAGATCAGACCGTCGGGTGGGTTGCCTATATGAACTCGCATGTCAGTAGCAGGCCTTCATTGTTCCATATTGCTTGCTCAGCACACTTTGCTCCTGAGGCCAGGTGTCTTTTCGAAGTGGTATGTAGAATGGGCAGGTCTGCAGAACCTGAGTGTTGCGGGCACATCCGTTTCCCAGGTCTGATTTATTTGCATGCAGTCTGTACCGAGGTTTCATTCTAAAACCTAAACTTTGTGTGTGTGTGTGTGTGTGTGTGTGTGTGTGTGTGTGTGTGTGTGTGTGTGTGTGTGTGTGTGTGTGTGTGTGTGTGTGTGTGTGTGTGTGTGTGTGTGTGTGTTCCGAAAGCGAACTGTACCAAAAGGGAGGCATCCGGGAATCAAGGTTCCACCATATCGTCATTGTCATTTCTAATGCACAAATAACAACACTTATCTGAATTAAATAAGGCCATTTTAATTGCATGTACAGCCCTTTCTGCAGCCTCAGTAGCAAGGACTAGATGCTCGCCTGCCGGTCCGAAAGTCTGGGGTTCAAATTTACAAACTTGATCTTCACTCCCATGTCAACCCAGGTAAAAAAATTTGACTCTAGGCAATGATACGGGAAGTAAAGGCGATCTGAGCGATATTGATCACATGGCCAACTAAGTGCCGATGGGTCAACAACAAAAAAGAGGGGTCATTTCAAACCCGTCCCAAAGGCTTTATGACACACAAAAAATGAAAGAAATACTAAACACCATCAACATATGTGGCAGAACTAAACAAAGTAATCATTTGAAATGATCCCTATGTGGGTTTCGGGATCCCATTGTAGGGGAAAACAGGAATAGACCCACTGCATCCTCAATAAGCATGTCGTATGGAACTACTGATTGGGAGCTTCCTTCGAAGTCGGAGTGCATCTGGCTGAGAGGCAAGGAACTATCAGTGTGCATACAAATAAGTCAGATCTGTAAACGGATGTGCATGCAAGATTCAGGTTCTGGAACAAGACTAAAGTTCAGAGGTAGCTGAACAACCAGAACTTTCCGCCGCAGTTGACAGCCGGTGAAAGCGAAGCATTCAGGCAAGCATCTCCTTGCTTAAGTAGGCAGTGAATGCCCTCCACAAAAAAGATTGTGGTTGCTTTGCTCACGTGTCTACGACGTGATCATGTTCAACACACGCAATAACACACGGTGCCGCACCAGTGGGTTTCAAAGAACGTGCCATTCATCCATCCATTTATTAGTCAAAATCGTTCTTTATTGTACTTACTATTTTAACGTTAGTCTTCTGACTATAACATGTGCCTTGTGTTGGTTTCGACAGTGGTATCAAGAAAGCCGACCGTCCAGGAAGCAATGGCAAACTACTGGACGTAAATTTGCCAAGAAAAATCACAGAGCAGCCAGGGGCTGTTGGGGTTGGTTCTGCAACGTCCTTTAAAGGATACGCAACTAACCTTAACCTTCTGACTATAGTGGTAACTTACAATTATAGAGATGACCTGCAATTTTAAAAAAAAAACATTGTCAGAAGTGGGATTTGAACCCACGCCCACAAGAGTGGACTGCGACCTGAACGCAGCGCCTTAGACCGCTCGGCCATCCTGACTTACACTAAGTAAACAATATCATAAAAGTAAAACAAAATCTAACAGAAACTTGGTCATATTGACAATGAGTGTTGACAGTATTTAAAGTTAGTGTTTCATGATAACAAAAATAATGAAATACAGGGGTT